GGCAAGCATAGCCTGGCTCATGACTTGTGGTGAACGATTTCCCGCCGCTATCATTGGGAACTGAGTTCAGTGTCTGTGGACGCATCGTCAGTCGTCGTCCTGCCCTTGTCCTTGCTGACAGGAGTTTGGGAGGCCTTGGATTCGGGAGCATTGAACACCCAGCGACGACAGTATGCTCGACCCCGCCAGAAACCCTTAGAAAGCAGCACCGCAGCTGTGGGTGCGCTCACAGTGAGCCGAGCGAATGCGGTCGACTTCTCAGGTTTCGCACTTTGTATTTGACACTTGTAGACGACAATAACAGCTGGGTTGTTGGCATTCCGTGTCACGTAGCCACGGAGTCGTTCTTCTGTCACTGTTGGTGACAGCCCTCCAACATACAGAACGACTTTCCTGCGAGGAGCACATACATCCTGCCACGGCTCCTCCGGAACAGGTGTTGTCGATGGGGATGTAGCTGCCGCTCTGGCAGCCTGGACCAGGTCTTCAATCTGCCGTGGCTCAGGTGGCCTTGGGTTTGCTGGGATTTCTGCAGCCGGCTGCTGCAGCAGTAATTTGCAGGGCTGTTTAGTCATGTCCGCAGAGTTCTGAGTGACCACTGAGGCAAATGTTGGTGCATCCTGGACAGATTGCTGCTGCTCAGTGGCAGAAACTGGCTGACGACTGGACTGAGTCGCAGCATCACTGGGTGTAGGACTGACCACCGAGGCAAATGTTGGCGCATCCAGGACAGATTGCTGCTGCTCAGTGACAGAAACTGGCAGACGACTGGACTGAGTCGCAGCATCACTGGGTGTAGGACTGAGCTTGACCAGCAGCCTCTCTATGAGACGCTGGAGTTGGGGCTGCAATGCTGCCGTTACCTCCGCCACAACAGCATCTCGGAGATAGGAAATACACGATGGGAGGGCTTTCACGACCTCATCCCGCACAAGTTCCTGCAGCCGGGAATTTTCAAATTGAGAATTTTCTCCCAGCGGAGAATTTTCAAGCTGAGAGTCTTTTCTCAGGGATTCGAGGGATCCGGCACAGTCACTTGAGACAAACTCTGCGGCCTCCTCCGCTGAGAACAGCCTCTTGTTGGTCTTAGCGGAACCCTCGGGTGAGGAATCCATCGAGAGATCACCTCGGCCTCGTTTATTGGAGCCACGCGGAAGGGAGCTCGATCTTCGTGTCGGTTTCTCCTTCGACATTTTTTGTTTTTGTGTTTTCTGGTATTGTCTCTAATCGCCGTTGATGGCGAACCTACCACCACTACACTGCCCTACCACTACTACTACTACTACTACTACTGCTGAGATATATCCACCTCCAGACCGGCCTGATGCCGACTGGGCTCTCCAGGAGCGAGAATCTACGAGCTGAAAAAACGGTCCACCACTACTCACCCAGTGGTTATAGCCTTATTCTCTGCCTGTCTTAAAGCTACTTGAAGTAACAGTTTGATTTGATTTTTTTCTATTTTGGAACCCGAATTTCTCGACTTATTGCATTCCAGAACCCGGATGAAGTTTTTAACTTTTTACAATGATAATACACAGAACTACAAGGGCAATCAAGGCTTGTTAGCCGCTACTTTCATCATGCAGCTTTCGCAGTCATCAGCCAACAATGATAATGAAATTTTAAAATGGTGGGTAATCACTACTTAAATGACGACTGCATCTACGCCAAGCCTAGCGCCTTCCAGTTCCCTAAAAATCCCAGCCACTCACTCTCTGTGGCGGCTCACCTTAATTAACAACTTTAGTATTGACTATTGTATTTGACCGTGCCCTATCCTGGTCTTATTATGCTGATCGTGTATTTTGCCAGGTATGCCGGTCCGTTGGTATAGTGACAAGTCAATTCACCTATCTGCCTCATAGCTGTCACATTTATTTTTGCAAATCGTACATTCTTCCCCACTTCATACATAGCTTCTCCGCTTGGTTCAACCCAAATTGATAAAATAATTGGAAGTGCTGCATCGCCATATCCTTTGTAAAATAGGTCAACAGTGTTATACGAAACCACAAGTTCTCAAGTGTTCCAGGCCTTCTCGCTTGTGACATTGTGTTCGTTTCAATGCAGTTGTATCTCGACTCCGCCGTACCGCTGATGCTTACGGCGTGGTATACGCTACATGCGTTATGTGCGAGTTGCTGTGTGCGCTGTAGTTGTATGTTGTATGTGTATGCTTTTCTGATAAACGCTGTCATTTTCACGCTATAACTAGCTGGTGGTATTAGTGTCAGTTATTATGTTCGATCAAGTGAAATATACCGTTTTAGAGTCAATAGTTGTCCTCGTGCCGTGTGGTCGTTCGTTCCTGACACTTTAGAGAATCAGAGGGTTCATAACAAACAGATTGCCACATTTCAAACTCAGACTTATATGATGTTGCATCAACTACCACTTTGAAACATTTAAATTTTCACCAGTTGTAGTCTTCGGGGTGCTGAGTCGAATGGTCTTGGTCAGAGGAAGCTGAGACGCTCTGTTCCTCCTTTATTCCCAATCGAACTCGCGCACTTCCACCGAAAGTGGGTGACTGCGCCCTACTAGATGAGGATTTGTATGCAAAATGTCACTAAAAGCACCATTTTGCTCTTATAAAAACACGGATGACCGAGCTCGGCCCTTATATTGTAGTCTTTTGGACGGTGAGTCGACTGGTTTTGGTCTGAAAAGACTGCGATGCAGTTGTTTGTTGATTTTTATTTTACTTCGCAAGGCCAAACGGGCAATGGTGCCCAATTCTATGGGAGCGAATTTCAAAGCGGAAGAAAGCTACGGAGAGTGTGTGTGTGAGAGAAAGAGAGAGAGAGAGAGAGAGAGAGAGAGAGAGAGAGAGAGAGAGAGAGAGAGAGAGAAAGTTACATTTTTAAAGACAGGTAAGTCTAACAAATGAGGACTGAGACTCTACAACAGGGTTTTTACGCCTGAAAGCAGGTGCATGATTCAACACGCAGGTTGTCAGTCTAGATTTTATGCGCAGATGGAGAAAAATGCACAGACATTTTGTAATGAGATGAAAAGCAGAAAAAAGAAATAATAAGAAAAGATGAAATGAAACCCTGCTCACAACCCCGCCCAGCCTTGCGAACTGGAAATGGTAGATTAAGAACCCGGGTTCAACGCTCGAGCAAGCGCTCTCCACTAAAGGTGTTCACAACAACTGATAGGAAGGGTCAACCCATAGGGGGAAATGATAGAAAAGATATAAGATAAAGAGAATAAACTTCAACGCACCTCAAAAAACGGAGCCCCACATACAGTACCTCAGAAAAGTTGATCTTCCGACCGGTGTTTTTGTTGACGTCGCAGCCAGATGATGTAGCTGCTTCGCAGAGACGTCTTACTCCACAAATTACAAATAAATTTTATTCTTCGATTAGAAAACCCAAGCGCTTTCAGAGCCCTCCGAAGAGAGTCCGGGATGAAACCATGCACACCTACCTTAACCGAAAAAGAAAAGACCTGCCAGCCGTTTGCTCGGCATTGATCGGTCAGATCAGATCTTTCCGCGAGTTACTGACACTGAATCTGTCCTCAGCACAAACTGTCAACTCCATCCAGAATACAATCCTAAGACTCGTAGACTAAAGAACTATATCTGGTCTTATGGTGGTTAGTGCAACACAGCTAGGGAAAGAAATCTTTGCACTAACTGAGTCGACAAGAAGTTTCCAGTCTGAGGACGCTGACAGGAGGAGATCAGTCGTAACAAACTTTCGTCTGGGCTGAACGCGAAAAGAGAGAGAGAGAGAGGGAGAGAGAGAGAGAGAGAGAGAGAGAGAGAGAGAGAGAGAGAGAGAGAGAGAGAGAGAGAGAGAGAGAGAGAGAGAGAGAGAGAGAGAGAGAGAGAGAGAGAGAGAGAGAGAGAGAGAGAGAGAGAGAGAGAGAGAGAGAGAGAGAGAGAGAGAGAGAGAGAGAGAGAGAGAGAGAGAGAGAGAGAGAGAGAGAGAGAGAGAAGTGCTGTATGAACATGCAAGTTCACCTAAATTGGGTAAAAGACAAAGTTGGCCATTTCAGTCAAATCACTGCACGAAAAGGAGAAATAAAAGACGCACCATGTAACCGAGCAGGATTCGTACCCACAACTTCTCGTACTGGAGGTCAGAACTGTACCAAACGAAGAGGGATGACAGCACAAGAAAACCCAGGCTCAAATCGGCTATTTATACCTGGACCGTGGACGTATACGGTATATATGAGGGTGTCATTCTATACGACACTGTATGTAATGATATATACGTCTTGACTTTTAAAAGCGTTGAATGGATTACAAAAAAAAAGAGGATAAAAAAGTAACAATCAGGCCAATTTTGAACTCGGATGGTGAGCCAATGTAATCATGGATAAAAAAAGGAAAAGGACAAAATATTACAAGTTTTGACTAACTGTCCACCAATGCAACCAGATCACAGACAGTCAGCGAGTACGACAGCATGGCACACAACTGACAAGGAGTACTGAGACATTCAATGATCTGAAACCTAGCTCCAACACTTCTACGAGGCGCAAACCAACAACCTTCCAACTTGGAAGGCTCAGGTTAGGAAAGGGGAAGGAAAGCAAGTCCAAGAGGGGAAGGAAAGCACGAAGAAGAGCAAGAGCTACGCACCACTGCAACAAAGAATGCCGAAAGTTACTGGATGATGACGACACTAGTAAGGCTATTGGACATACCGGCCTTACTACAACTCGACGACGCAAAGCAACATACTACCCAAATTGGGAGGCTCAAGTTTAATGCGATAAACATAGAAAGAAGCTAGGTTGGAGCAAGGTGTCAGGTCATTGCATGTCTCAGTGCTCCTTGTCAGTTTTGTGCCATTCTGTCGCACTCGCTGACTGTATATGATCTGGTTACATTGGTGGATAGTTAGTCATAACTCGTGCCATTTTGTCCTTTTCCTTTTTATCCAATCATGTCAATATTACATTTAACGTTGCTCTCAATACATACACATGTTGATGCATGCTATCATGCTCAACCGACGAGTGCTTCAACGTAATGTTTAGAATAGAAGGTAACACTAGAGCAGGTGATCAGGCTTTTAAACCGTCCCTGCATAAAGTACGGAAACAGGACAATGAGAACAACGGTAAACACCTGGAAACTGGACCTGCAGTTCCAGGCATACACTCACACGCATGCAATGATAAAACTCGATTCCGTCGCTTGGTATAGCGCGTCGTAGGAAAACGGATGCTTGCCGCCACGACAAAGCCGCTCAGGACTTTGGCAGAGATGCGCCCAGTGCGCCGCCAGGGTGGTTGCCACGGAAACGACCAGCGTCGAATTTGGTCTTGGTGATGATGTCATTGGTGATGCAGTTGACGAGTGACTCCTGAAGGATGGGAGCATGCCACACATAGTTCCATACTGATCGTTAGAGTATTAGCGGCCGTCATGAGTTCCCTTCAGGAACGGACGCGATGGGGGGGGGGGTCAAGTGCAGCTCGTTTCACAAGTACCCCACAACCATGACGCTCCTCTGCATGTATTCATCATAATCGTCACAAGACGTTTGGAGTATGGAAGTTCGTAAAAAAAGTGAGTTCAAAAAACAATGATGCACTCGGGAGAAACCGACACAATGGTCAGCATACACACGTGTTTGTTTAGAGGACGGGGAGCGGGTATGAGGAAATACAAAATTCCGTTTTGAAAACATATCGGGTGCTTCTGAGGACGGTCCCGGAGTCAAAGTACCGAACAATTCTTCATAATGCTAGCTTCAAACAATGCCTTGTGCGTGCAACATGAGAACACAAGAACACCCTGAGAGGCATAACACATTGACAGAAACACCTTGAGAGGCATAACACGTCGAGAGACGTTCCCGTGATGCCATGTAAGGGCATATTCGATTTGCCGAATCCGTGGGCTCCGGATCCGGATTCGCCGGGTTTGGACCTGTTCGATTGTACGAAGCCGGATCCAGGTCGCGCGGATTCGAATCTCGTCAACTCATCTCCCAAAGGTGGATACGACGAGTTCAACAGATCCATTTTCGCTTTGCTCACGAAATCGGGCAAAATTCTTGCTTTTCTTGCTGCGGTTCAAGAATTCTTGGCCTTGGCAACAAAGGTTTTGAGCGCGCCATTCTTGTTTGCCATGCCAACCAACCCCATCCTTCTTAAACCACATGGATCTGAAATCAGTTTCAACTGTTCGATTGGATCCGTTCAATCAAACTGATCAGCTTGGCAGGATGCAGATTCAGGTTCCACAATCCAATGCAACCTAATACTCAAGCATGTAGCGAGTCTCAAATTAGCGCTTGACGGAAAATCCTTTCACTGCAGTTTTGTTCAGAGTCGATGTGATGCCGGAGATTGAAACGACACCTGTTTACGAGACAGGTATTTCTATGTGTGTCAACACTAAAACCAGGCTTATGTGCCGACAGTGTATCTTGAAAATCAGGCTTGTATACAAAACAGGCTTCTATACGAGACAGGCTTTCATTTTGGCGAAAGGAGTTTGCACATGGCTGCGGCAGTCTAGACCCATGCAGAGCTGTTGAGAGCCACTCCGTCTCGGAAATACCGTCGCACCGCATGTTGATTTGCAAACACTGGCTAATGTTTGGCAGAAGATTTCCGCTTTTCGAATGTTGACTGGGAATTTCTTTGCCATGCGGCTTGATTTCCCATACTGCAACCTATTCGTCACATCACCTCTCAACCCTTTGGAGCTCTACTGATCACATGACACCAAAAATATAAGCACAATCGCAATTGTACTACTTTTTCAAATTTCCAACATACCTACTCTTGCTTTACCGATTTTCATGATCTTGCGCTCGGTGGAAAGCTCTTGGAAAGGGGATGACAGCCGCAAGTAGTAGGATAGCAGGCACCAGTGCTTACCTGAGCAACTAGACTGGCTGTTGGAACGCCGCCGGCGGGTTCGGTCAGGCTGCATGGTCCGTACGCCACCACGTTGCACGGCTCGACGAGCTGGGCCAGACGGGAATCTGAAAGTCAGTGCAGCAAAAAGAATAGCAGTAACTACTTCAGAAAAGACCTTGTCTGTGGCAATGATGCCCGCAATAATCTCTTATTGGCGATGGTGCCATCGTGAGAATAAAGAATTAAAAAAAACACAGATTCCCGAAACGCTAGTGGAAAGCGTATAATGCATTGTGCATGATGAAGACACCACCAAGAACATACCCGTCTTACCCGTCTTTGCCTGGCTAAACCACACAGACAATCACAGACCATAAATATACAAAATTCTGTCGCTGCAACATTTCGGCATTTCACGATTTTCGACATTTTCAGCAGCGATGTATTTTCGGCACGGGATTACAATACTAGTACAGTGTACATCACCAAAGCTGAAGTGAAAATTTCATCAGCGTTTTAATTTCGGCGGTTTGGGTCGGTGCCGTATAAAGCCGAAATTGAATAGCCGCCGAAGTTTTGAATATTCCAGTTACACAATTATACCAACAGGGATTACTGCCACGCACACCCGTCTTGACATTGTGCAGGGATGACATTGGAACGCACGATTGACGATCAAGCAAACAAACCTGGATTAGGGCGCGCTCACACTGCGACCAAAACCAGCGTCCATGCGGCCATGCGGCCAAGTTGCATGGCAACGGCATGAACTTGACCAAAACGTCGCGGCCACGTTTCAAATCGTGACCGCGACCCCCGGAGGGGGGTGCCACGACTTGGCGGCAACATGATCGTAGACGTGAAGCGTATTTGTGTACAACCTGGCCTGAAGTATGTTCAATTTCTCAAATTCCGGTGTGTTGATTCATGAACATCGGCGGTTGTCGATGTCACCTCGACATTTGCACATTTTAAAAATTTTGTAGTTGTGGTCCTGCACGCACGCACCGCCATATATGCATTCTTTACCCTTTTTGGACGATGTCGATTTTGTTTTTGTAGTTGCTTCGTTGTGATCGGGTCAGTGACCAATTTCTACAGTGTACTCGTTCAATACGATGGCAGCTTGGTCTGGCTTTTCGGTTTCGGAAATTATCTTTCTTTACTTTTCTGCGATGATGGAATGCCATACCTCAAGACATTTCAGTTACATATCATCGGAAAATACAATTCTCATCTCGGCAACAGACGAAAGAAACCACTACCGGAATTTCCACTGCACTGGCACTTGCTCTGACCACGAGGTCAGGAAAGCGAAAGCGCTTGGATGTCAGCGGCAGTCCCTCAAGAGTCCAAACCTACCTGATTGTATGAAGTATTTTCGTCGACTTCAATAATACGAGCCACGAGGCACTTCCTCCAACATGCAACATGCGAAAAATTACATCCAAAACGGGCCACAACTTTATTAGGAAACGCACGGACTCTTTTGGATACGAACTGCAATTCGTAAAGTTTGTGTGACAACTTCACGTCTACGCGTGTACGAGGCCTAGTGTGAGCACGACTCCCACGTTTCTGCGTTTTGCTGACGCATGGACGCGTGCTCATGGTCGCAGTGTGAGCGCGCCCTAAAGAGGTCAATGCCACAACGCTGGCGCCACGCTGCTTCAGTTCATCGCACAGAGCGACCGTCTCGGCCGTGTTCCCGCTGTGTGACAGCAACATGACGATGCTATCCTTGCTGACCTTGCCTGTCGTGAACAAAGTGAGGACACAGGAAAGCAAAGAACAATCAATGCAATCTCTCTCGCATGACACACGTGTGATTGCACGTTTACACGCACGCACGCACGCACACACACACACACACACACACACACACATGTCGAATCTCTAGATGCTACAACCCACTGACGGCTGTTTTGAGACCGTGGTCCTACCCAACGCAGGCCAGGGCGCAGTTACAAGCAAAACTGATGCACCAAAGGCATGCGTGTACATCGGCACACACCTCGACTCTGTCCACTTTCCATTGCCATCATCCCTTCTAAGCAAGTCACATTCTAGCATACAAGACTTTACAGTATGTGCTGGTAGGACTGCTAAAGTAGCAAACTAACTGAAACACAAGACAGAAAAAGAAAAGAAAAAAATGGACTTCAGTTCCGTGGCTACCCCTTCACCCGGCTGCCTTCTGAACGCATCATTATGCCACCCGCGGTGCACATGGAATCTTTGCCTTTCAGAAAGGGGAATACCTGTCAAGAAAACATCCCTTTTGAAGTTCTACACTTGCAAGCTACAGCACTATCGGTCAGCGAAGAACTGGGGGGGGGGGGGGGGAGGGGGGGGGGGGCAAGCCTTGTAGCCTAGACCGTTCTTTTTAAACACTTCTCATGTTCTTGTAATACAGTCTATGCACAGGGCCAGTCACCGTGTGTACATTAGTATACAGTGCTTGGTGGCATTCTAGCCGGGTCGTTCGTCGGCGCTCCGTTCTTCGGTGCTCCGTTCTTCGGTGCTCCGTTCTTCGGCGCTCTGTTCTTCGGCGCTCCGTTCTTCGGCGCTCCGTTCTTCGGTGCTCCGTTCTTCGGCGCTCCGTTCTTCGGCGCTCCGTTCTTCAGCGCTCCGTTCTTCGGCGCCCGACAGTACTGCACTGCTACGCTATTCTATTCCAGTCTCATGGTATTACAGGACATTGCTGCGGCTACGCAGCCTCACCTAGATCGCCATGGTGAAACTCGGTGGCGTGGACAAATTCACACGGCACGCTGATCGAGCTCAGCGTTGCTGCCAAGCGGCGAGCTACAAGGCCGGATTTTCCTGCCAACAACAACAACAACAACAACAACAAAACCTCATACACAGCATTCATACAGCAGTTCATATACCTGTTCTACAACTGACTGCCAATCAGCTCTAGCACATAACTGTGCAATGACCTGTGCAAATAGACTACTGCAGCAAGAAACCATCATTGACTACCGGCCATTTTAGAACCATACAAGTTGGAAGGTCATTGGTTAGCGCTATCGAGCTGTGCTCAAGCTAAACGTTGTAGTTCACATGCACATGAGACTTGCTACACACCGGTAAGCAGAGTTCTCTACGGAACAAAGAGTGCTCAACTCCTTGCTCATACACATTCAATTGGGGAGAGAGGACATTTGTAAGTCAAAACTCAGATTTTCACGCCCTGGACGATCATCATGCAACTACATGGTGGTCTGATAGTACAGTGGAGACCCTGCTACAAGTATTTTAGGAAACGGTCTAGAGCAGGAAGCCATCACCTTTCAAGTCTAGTTTGACGCGAATTATAATAATAATAAATTATTATTTCAAACAGTAGTTTGGAGGCGGTGGGAAAACAGTTTCGTAATAAGTATTCGCATGCAACGACGCAAATCCACACAATTCAGTAGACACTTCTTTTCTATCAAACGTTTTCTTTCCCTTCTCTTCAGGATAGTACAGTAGGCCTTGGCGGATAATGCTCGAAAAGGTGGCGGATTCTGCTTTTTTTACACCGAAATTGGCAGAACCATACAAACCTTATGGCGGGCAATTCCTCGAATTCTGCTCCATTTCTTTATCCACATACCAAACATGCATGAAACTTACCAGAAAAAGTACCGAATTCTGCCAATTTTTCTGCCGGCATTATCCGCCAAGCCCTATAGTACAGGGAATGTTGGAAATTTGGAAAAACACATAACTATATAGAAAAATAGAGAAAAAGTCAACACTTCAACATAGGCGATAAAATGACTAAAGTGTGAAAAAAACCTCGAAAACAAAAGCAGCAAGTTGTAGACAAACACGTTGAACACATCAAGAAGCACTTGTCACACTTTCACGAGGTGACAGAGCTAAATGATCGGACATCGTCCATCAAGCGTCATTTGTCGGGAAGTGCTAATTGTCGTGAGTTGTATAGTGATGATGTCTTTTCGGTTTTAACTCGTGGAAGGTCTAAGTTACATCTTGCTGTGTTAGAAGCTCTGTATATTCGTAAACTAGATCCAGAACTATGTGTACAGAAGGAGAATGTGTTATCGTTGCAGTTGTTTGGTGTCACACCTCGTGAAAGTGTGACAAGTGCTTCTTGATGTGTTCAACGTGTTTGTCTACAACTTGCTGCTTTTGTTTTCGAGTTTTTTTTCACACTTGAGTCATTTTATCGCCTATGTTGAAGTGTTGACTTTTTTTCTATTTTTCTATATAGTTATGTGTTTTTTCCAAATTTCCAACATTCCCTGTACTATCCTGAAGAGAAGGGAAAGAAAACGTTTGATAGAAAAGAAGTGTCTACTGAATTGTGTGGATTTGTGTCGTTGCATGCGAATACTTATTACGAAACTATTATTATTATTATTATTAGTGCAATTAGGAGTATAATCGATGCAGACATGGCCAGACAACAACGAGTTCATGGAATTTTTAAGGATTTTTTATGTTATTCAAAATCGATTTTCGTGTTCCGCTCATCAGTGAATAGTATCGGAACTGAGGGTACTGTGTACAAAAATAGAACATTTTATAACAGCATAATTAATTAAAAGTGTGAACAACAAAGGAAGTGCTACAGCATTACATAATAGGTGTCAAACATAGTGCTAACGTATATAACTGAGTGCAGCCACAAAGCAAGAAGTGATACAGTGCAACATGACACAACATTTACATCTGATAACCAGCTACGAGAACAACTTTAGCGCGACTACGTGCTTCTTTTGTTTACAAAGAACAGGATTATGCACACGAATACATACAGCTTCCAGAACCTTCAACTGCTTAACATAACTTGCACGGCACAAAACAGAAAAGTTGTGCCGTGCAAGTTATGTTAAGCAGTTGAAGGTTCTGGAAGCTGTATGTATTCGTGTGCATAATCCTGTTCTTTGTAAACAAAAGAAGCACGTAGTCGCGCTAAAGTTGTTCTCGTAGCTGGTTATCAGATGTAAATGTTGTGTCATGTTGCACTGTATCACTTCTTGCTTTGTGGCTGCACTCAGTTATATACGTTAGCACTATGTTTGACACCTATTATGTAATGCTGTAGCACTTCCTTTGTTGTTCACACTTTTAATTAATTATGCTGTTATAAAATGTTCTATTTTTGTACACAGTACCCTCAGTTCCGATACTATTCACTGATGAGCGGAACACGAAAATCGATTTTGAATAACATAAAAAATCCTTAAAAATTCCATGAACTCGTTGTTGTCTGGCCATGTCTGCATCGATTATACTCCTAATTGCACTAATAAAATTGCTTTCTCCACGCCGACTCTTTAAATTATTATTATTATTATTATTTTTTTAAAGAGGTCGGAGGCGGATAATACTTTAAAACGAAGGTAAGTTATGGGTCGCAAATATCCACGCAAACACACATCCAGTCATAATAAGGCACTTGTCATAAGTGTCCGAACGTTTTCGGTCCCTTCTCATCAAGGATTATACAGGGAATGGCTCAAGCTGGAAAGACTAAAACTTATATAGCGTAAAGATAATTAGATAACAACACTCGTGACAAGGTGGAAAATTATCAAGTTTAGCACGACACAAAACTCGAAGGAAAATAATAATAGTGACAACAACATAGTGAGCAAATTAAGTTACATTGTTACCACCTCGACGAGGAGTAACCGAGGTGGTAACAATGTAACTTAATTTGCTCACTATGTTGTTGTCACTATTATTATTTTCCTTCGAGTTTTGTGTCGTGCTAAACTTGATAATTTTCCACCTTGTCACGAGTGTTGTTATCTAATTATCTTTACGCTATATAAGTTTTAGTCTTTCCAGCTTGAGCCATTCCCTGTATAATCCTTGATGAGAAGGGACCGAAAACGTTCGGATACTTATGACAAGTGCCTTATTATGACTGGATGTGTGTTTGCGTGGATATTTGCGACCCATAATAATTATTATTGTTATTATTATTAACTGGTTTGAGGGAAAGAGACAAACGGGAAAATCAAAATATTATCCCCTGAGTAGTATAATTATTATGGTGTTCTCCTGTGTTTAGTACTTTACATGCAGAGCCTTGACGGTGCTGGATGAGCGACAATATAAATTATACACAAACATGTAGCTCATAATGTGGGATGACGTACATATATGTGTGGGGGGGGGACACGCACATGTGTATGGGTAGGAGTGTGTGTACACGCACATGTGTATGGATGTGCGTGCTGCATGCGTGTGTCGGTGGGATGAGGTGGGGGTGCACGCACATGTGTACATGTGTGTGCGCAATATAGCATGTGTTTACATGTGTGAATGTGTTAGTTGAACACAGGGAGTCCTCCTGATTCCATAAACTTTGTGATCATTGTGATTTCATGTGCTTAGGAGTTGAAATTCGCAATACTGATGCTCGATTAGATTTATGTTCCACATGTTCTATTTATTTTATTTTACTTCAAGCACTTGTACTATCAAGCACAACCCTACCAAGGTGGGGAAAGAAGCAGCAGAGACACCTACTGAGTCTAGTGACTGTCTCCGTCAGTTCTAAAAAAAGCAATTTTTGTGAAATTGAAAAATCTCACCTGTTAGTGTTGCTCACTAGCCACTAGTGACTAGAGTTGTTCGTCCACGAAATTTGCAATATACCACTACGGTACCAGCAAGAGTAGGTAAGTTGGCGTAGAACAACAGTTATGCAAATCCATGTTCATCTCCGCTTCACTTTGGAAGGCAGTACAAGCACCCTTCATACCTCGACATTGCCTTGAAGTGGAAGCAAATTCACCATGAGTTTTCCAATTCGCTACAATCGATCTCGGGGTGATGATCGTGTCTTCTTCATCACCACTGCAGCCTGGACAGCCTTCGGGAAGACATGTGTCACTCTCCTGCTCAACAGATTCCTACATCTAGATTTGGTTACAGTCAGGGAACGAAATAGAGCTGCCAAACACCAAAGTAATTGTTTTCTTCCATTCAATTACACTGCTGAGCATGCACATACCGTGGTGACAGCTAAGCAGTACGTACGTCATCAAGCCCAATGTCCAAATATGGAAGGTTTTATTATGAATTTTGACATGGTTCCTCTTCTCTGATCGGCTCGAGCTAGACATAGCTCATCGGAATCAGTGCCCAATTCTCCTTCGGATAAGCCATACTTATTTTTGGCGTTCAGTTTCCCTTTAACGGCATATGTTGACGAATGCGTGCGCCCAGGTGCTGAATGGTTCTACCCACATACCGATCTTCACATTGTCGGCATTGAAAGAAATAGATAAGGTTACTGTAGTATCCCTGCCCGACCAATACGGAAGCAGTACGGAACTAATACGGAGCTTTGCCTGATGTATATTTAGTGTATCTCCGTATGTAAGCGTACGGCGTCTGCTGCATAAAAGCGGCTGTGCATTTCTGTTTTGATGAAGAGAAGAGAAGATTAGATTAGATTGGATAGCAATGAAAGCTAACTCGAAGAAGAAGGATTCAACCTCTAGGTGAGCACCGGCGAGAAAGTCAGTTATTTTGCCGCTTCTTCTTTCACTAATATTTATATCTCAGGTGTGTACCTGAAAGAAGTAGAATAAAAGTAATTCTTGTCGGCTACCCATTACAGTTACTTTAGCTTTTAACCCTTTGGAGTCCGTAACTTTTTTGCTTCCGCAGAATTTGTGGCAGTCACGAAAATGCGCACTCCATTTCCAACATAACTTTGGTTCTACTTCACCGATTTTGAAGATCTTGGGCTCGTTGGAAAGCTCTTGATGAGAGAAATACAATGAGCCCAAACTCGCCAAGAGCACTATTCATTGTCCGCCACAACAGGCCCACACGCGAGTCCAGCTCCAGATCTGAGACGAAATCGGTCTCCTGTAGCCATTTCACTGAATCTAGCTCGGAACTGTTCAAATTTTTTCGAGTAGAAGCCTACCTTGCCGTGACTTTGCGCTGCGCCGGTCCTGGCACGTGCCGCCTGTCATGAAGCTGGGAAATCCTTTTTTTTTTCACGCACTGCTGACTCGCAGAACGCAGCGCAGAAAATTCGAAATGTTTGATCGCTCGTCGCTCACTCAAACTTCATTGGCGAGACTTCAGACCTATTCCAAGCGATAGCTGGGAGTTTTCTCTACCATCTAGACTCTTCGATTATTGCATTTGGTCAAGATTTGGCCAAGAACCGAAAGTTTGACTGCGCCCACATGCATACAAAATGCCCATGGTTCGAAATCGAACCATGGACTCCAAAGGGTTAAGGGTAGGTAGAACGTCCTTCTTCACACTGAACGCACGCACTGTCCCAAATATGACGTACAGCTTGACGCACAGATAAGATGGACATACGATACCACGAACATCCATCTCCACGCGCGTAGAACACGCGCCAACCCAGGGTAAACGGAGCACCACTGGGCAACGGGCAGGTCCAAATTGGATAGGCTTGTCTGTCGCCGGTTTTTCGTTGATTAGCTTGGCCAGAAATGCCTTTGGATACCTATTGTTCGTAAATATTGAATCGGGATCGGAGTCAACTTCTCAGCCGGAGCTTATCGTTCGTGATCAGTCATAGTCGCGGGTCAGTTGCAGCTATGAAAAACGACACCTTGAAGTCTTGAGGTTTCCAGGGAATCGTGCCATACTCTGTTTACGTATTGCCACCTCATTGGCATCGCGTGACTTTCTCAGGTTTGTCAACCCTGATGTGAGCAATTTACAACAACATCACACGATCCGCTGATGCTATCTTGACTCCCAAAGCGGCCCTTCCGAGAAACTTGTCAAAGTTAGCCGCCAGTGGCCGTCCGTGCTTGGCACGAACACGAGGAAGCATTCCAGCGGCGGTGTGGCATCAGACCTCCCCCCCCCCCCCCCCGACTCCTGTCAGAACTAGACGAGCAGTGAGTGACAGGCACGTACACCCCACCTGTCGCCAACTCATGTAGCTCCGCAGCTCCGCTGATGAGACCTAAGATTTGTAATTTGTAATTTATATTGTTTAAAATTTGATTAAATTTTTTGTTGTTTATGTCCCCCAAAGGCTTTCGCCTATCGAGGGGGTTTCCAAACTTTCCATAATACCAAATCTGTAAAAGAGGTTACTAGGTATTGTATTTATTGGCTCAGTATCCGAGTTAAATTTGTAAAAGAGGTGATGAGCAATAGGTGAGCAGAGAAAGAGATAAAGAAATAGTCTAGAGCAGAGCTCAGCACTTGAACATATGATTGTAAGCGTGCAGAACTGGGATAATGCAAAGTGTGCCAGAGAAAAGCTTCTAAATAAAAAGCAATAGGATGTGACGCTACATAATTATTCAAAAAAGACTGTCCAAACAGTAGATGTGTACATGTACATGTAGTTGTCTGCAGATTGAGCTCAGTCAAACCTCTTTAGCACGAACACCAAGGGACCGATGTTATTTGTTCGCAATAACGGACATTTATCTTATCCATACAACTTGATACAAGTATCTTCTAGCAATACGTAGTGAGTACACAGTGATGTATTGAAAAGAGTTACGAATATTAATATTAATTCTTCTAAAGCGACAGTTTGTCTTCTCAGTGTTCTTCTAAAAGAGGCGATCTTACTGTACATGTATATGCAAATAGGACTGTACCGTCGTGAACTCAGACTAGGATCGCCAAATTTCCAACGTTCATCAGTCGAAAAGTACGTGTAACCACAGTCAACATACACCAACGTCGCTAAGTCTTTCCGCATTCCAAATTTTCATATTCATCTTTCACTCTGGTCTTTTTTCGTTGACGCAATCATTATAATTATTTACTTTGTTGGCTACTGCCATTGGGGCGTGACACAGCACGGTGAATGAATAAATTGATTAGAAAATCGGTATGCTGCTCCTATGGTAGGAAGAATGCGCCGAAATAGCTTCAAGACAACCATAAGGTCTTTGTCTCAAGCACTCCATACATCTAACGCTCCTGCTTTGCAGCCGGTGGATCTTTCACAATGGCTCAAACAATGGTTATACAAATACATTCATTGTCACTCAATCGCAAATTGTACTCAGGTTTTAATGACCAGCACCAGCACTATTATCATCACCAAAACCACAAAAGAAGTATTGTAGTATCAGGTTAACTTTTGGCTAAGGCATCTTTAAAAAAGGCAACTTAAATTTTCATCGACAAAGAAATCTTAGTCCTTAAAGCGAAAAAAATTCTGCTTTTGAATAGAATTGCTGAGGAAATAATGCTGGGTAGCAACCCTTCTATGAAAACAGTAGAGAATGCATTGGATGATGAAGAGCGTTATATTCTCATCATAGTGAAGAACCACGCTTTCCTAACAAGAATCTCAAATTATGAACCGTGGTGCTAACATTGACCAGGAGCTTGAGCGGTGGACTTTTGCGAGAATCTTAACACAGTGCTGCTTGGTGCGTCTAGTCTAGAGGGAGAGAGACACTGTTGTTTCCTTTTGCCATATTGTGGCAACATTTTACAACAACACAGAAGCTTCAAAACAAATAGAACCTAAAAGAATTTCACGTGAACACGTGCAACAATAGAAGAGGAAGCGCTGGTGATGGGAATCACTACAAGTAGAGGACACTGATTGACTGCCGGCATTGAGGACAGAGGGGTGCCTTGCCTTCAGCCTTGCAAGCAGCTGCGTGCTTGCGGATGCAGTCAGAGTGGTACTGGTGACCACAGTCGATGGCTGCCATAGCCGTGATAGGTATATCTTTCAGGCAAATACAGCATTCTCCACAGAAACCGCACTTTCCAGGATCGCTTACTGCCAGGCCTAAGCCATGATCAAAAGTTGCTTTGACCCGGGTTAATGTGAATCCAAAGAGTTCTTTCAATCTAGCTATCAGATACGTCAGAACTTCACTGAAAGAAGCCGGTGAGACAGTTATAGTTGTATCGAATGCCTGGATCCATGCTACCAACCTTTCGATGCAGAGTCTCCTGTGCTCTCTTGTAACAGGTTCCATCATCTTGCTTGTGCCATTGTTAGTCAGCAGAACATATTTGCATCGCTTCACAATTGCAGTTGTCCTCGCGTCGCCATCACACCATGCAGCCAGAGCTTCCTGTTCGTTCCCAACATCACCTTCATAGTGCGTCAGAACAAGAATAGCTTGCTTGGGCCAGTTTCGCTCAAACATTCTGTCGAGAACGTGGATGAGCAATACGTCTTCCAAAGACCATCGCTGACACTTTGCAACCACCACGATGCAACTTATGCCCATCTCGGCAGTCTTGTAGATAGCCCTCAGATCTTCAATGATCTCCTCCTCTGAATTTGTCCGATCACCGAATCCGATCGTATCACAAATGAACATCCCAATGCGTGGGGCAATCGAAAACTTTGCCTTTGTCGTTCCAGCAGCTGCACCATGACCTACAGCGTTTGGACTGTTGCACTCACTCGCCGAATACCCATTGTTCACCAGCATGTTCACAATCGTCGACTTTCCAGAGCCTGTTCTTCCTATAATCAACACATGGCGCTTCACCAACTTGCTATACGCCTCGGTTCGAATTTGCTGATTGGAAGCTCTCTCTGACGCCATAGCTGGCAGAAACTCCATGTGGACACCTACAAGTAAGATGGAATAAACGACACCGAAAAGTTTTTGCATTCAGCTCAGAGTGAGTAGAACAACATGTGAAAGAGATCCTACTGTAGTATCCCTGACTGTCAGTGATCACACAGCCAAGTCTCTACCAGTAGTTACAGGAACATTCTAGCTAAGTGCTTCTCACGCGCAACCACTTAGGACTAGATAGCCCTGCTTGCAAGACCGGTACGGCCGCATGACCTATTGCGCTCATGCTGTACTAATACATTACATTGATTCCTGTATAGTCTGTTCCCCATCACTGGCCCTCTTGATCCCTTGCGAGATTCTAGGCATCCAACAGCTTTCTTCCCCGAATCCATGTTATTGTTCAGCCCTAGCTCACACACATTCAAATGGCTTTTCCTTAGATCTTTCAACAGTTGTCTTCCTAGTAATCTTTTGCAGTCGCTCCCAGCTGCTCTCTCCCTCTGGCCTATATAAACCCATCATTCTTTCTCATTGCTGTGTGGAATTATGAAGTGAAGAGTCTAAGCCCAAGAGCTTGTTTTCCTCCCGCTAGTGCTGTCAGCCTGTATCACTTTCTGTTGTAAGCCCAAAGTGCCTCAGAGTCGAGCAGGCTGGCAGACACTACACTACTTGAAGCGCTTCAAATGCTCTTTCATGTGCAGGTTTGATGTACGCCTTCCTGATAGCTTGCCAAGTGTGAAAACGGCATAAACTCAGCCATAATGGCATAAAGCACCAATTCATAATGACACAACACCATCCTGCTGCCAACGGCGCTATGAAGTATGATTGCAGCCAGGTACACTGCTCTCCTTGCAATGACATGTGTCCCCCCAACTTACTATGCAGCTGTCATCGCCATACCTGCCATGTACGACATAGTGATGGTAGCAAAGACACGACAGTGTGCAGTGGAGTGGACAAGCCTGGAAGTTCAACTATTAGTATTACTTCAACTGTGGCACAAGCACGACATGCGCAGTACACACCAACCACTCTTCAACAGCAACAAACTGTCCGGCATGTTTACATACATTGTACTTCACATGCACATGAGACTTGCTACACACCGCTAAGCAGAGTTCTCTACGGAACAAAGAGTGCTCAACTTCTTGCTCATACACATGCATTTGGGGAGAGAGGACATTTCACGGTAAGTCAAAACTCAGATTTTCACGCCCTGGACTATCTTTCATGCAACTACATGGTGGTCTGGTTGTACAGTGGAGACCCTGCTACAAGTATTTTAGGAAACGGTGTAGAGCAGGAAGCTATCACCTTTCAAGTCTAGTTGGACGCGGATTATTATTATTATTGTTGCCTGTAGCAGGTTACTAGTACTTTTAACTTTGTGTGTGTGTGTGTGTGTGTGTGTGTGTGGTACCGGGAGCTGACGGATTGCTGAACACTTGTGCCGGACCATGTCGGAACTACGGCGGAACAGACGGTTGCAGGTTGGGCACTCGATGCTCTTCGGGGCGGGTTCCTTGTCCTCACCTGCTGCTGTCACCACTCCACGCCACTCTCCACGATCGCTTGCCAACTCAAACCAGTTACGCACTCCAGCCACGGATAGGTCCGTGTGAATGGTGTCCTTCCAGCGACGACGAGGTCCACAGAATGGCCGAGACTGAGGGAGACAGGCAAACAGCAACTGCTTCGGTACTCTGGTGTCATCAAGACGAGCCAGGTGCCCAAGCCACTCCAACCGTCTCTGCTGCACCATGCGTGACAATGGTGTGGGATCACCCCACTGTGCTCGCAGTTCCTGTGAAGAGATGCGCTGTTCCCACTGTCGGCCTCGCGATACGCCAAGGATGGAGCGAATGTTGGCATGGTGAAACCGGTCCATTCTATCTAAATCTGCCTTCAACGGCGTCCAGCATTCTGAACCATACAGAACCGTTGACAGTACGCAAACGACATACAGGTGGCGCCTGGTAGGGAGGTTCAGGCTCCGGTCATGTAGGATGCGCCGAAGACCACCAAAGGCCCCTGCACCCTTGCAATCCGTCAGCTCCCGGTATCGGAGCAGCCTGGATCAGTACAGTGTCCAACATGCAACCGATGGCTACGTAGCAGAGGAGGCTTTGCGGTGCATAAGTGTCGGCTAGGCGATGTCGACCAGCCGCCGGCCCCTGCCCCTGCTCCTCTTGTTGTTCCTGGTGTAACTTGCACCAACTGTCAGCGTTCATTTAAATCGGCTGCGGGTCTCAAGCGTCACCGTTGTGGAACCTGTCCAAAGCGCCCTACTGTGGCTGAACGCCAACAATTCAAGTTTCACTGCCAAGTTTGCCACAACCGACGGTTCCGGAGGCGGCAAGATCTGGAACGCCACTTGGAGCATTGCCTTCCTCCCCCCTAACCTCTCTGACAGTACCTCCCTTTGGGGAGCGGCGTGGCCATTTCTGGCAGCTGTCAATAGTAGTAGTAGTAGTGTGTGGTACATGGTGTGTGTGTATGTGCCAGCTAGTCCGGTTGGTCGGTACACTTATGCCTGCTTGTGTTGGGTATGTTGCCAACAGGCTCGGGTGCTTGAAGGTGTATTGTTGTATCTGCCACCTTTGTTGGTTTCAGGGTTCGCATACTTTCTATTTGAAGTATACATACCTGTTAACCATGGACTGCTTCTGGCTAGATTAATTAACTCTTGTGTAATCAATGATCCTAGTGACGCTTAGATCAGAATAATTGATCCACTCTGATTTAGCCACCCACACTAGTAGCAAGCATTACCTTCACTGGGGCAGGGGTAACTGCAGTTAGATCTCTGGACGGATACCCTGATGCCGTCAATCCTTTTTCTGCACCTTGTCCTCACCCACTTACTGAGGTGTGGTGAGCCAATAAGTGGGATCATCTTCAAGTCCACCCAGAGTTTTGGGGATATCAGGGGGTGTCGGCCGTTGGGCGGTTCAATAGCCAGTTGAGTCATCTTTCCAAGATTCCTTTTGAGTCTCTCTCCCCTCTCCCGGGGAGACCCACGTGACCAGTTTTTGGCAGTGAGCAACAAGTACAAGTATGTGTATGTGTGCGTGTGTGTGTTGATAGGTTGCGGGTTCGATTCCCACATTATGGTCACACACGTCTTTCTTCTCTTTCTCAGATTCCTCCTGACTTTTCTTTCATTCTCCTGGGTGGTTACCAACAGCCAGTGCATGCCGGAGTATGTGGTGTGATGTGTGTGCGTTAAACAAAAAGGAAAAATTAAAAAGACCAAAAAGTAGGGATTCACTGGCCAGAAAAAGCAACTTCATAGCTGTGTGGCGTAGACCAGGCTGAATAGTGGCGGTCAATTCTTCAGCCCTGCAAGCTGTTGAACGGTGCAATCCCAGCACAAGCTGCTATGGCTTCTGCTGTAGCATCGCTATCATCGCCTCTGGCGATGGGCGTCCAATGGTCCAATGGTGTGTGTGTGTGTGCGTATGTATGGGAGGGGAGGGAGGGGGGGGGGGGGGTAGTCTCGGCAATATGGGACACCCCGTAAGTCTATAGGTACACGTAACTGCGAACAACAAGTGATAAAGACAGTTATCAAGTAGCAGTTGGCAAATAGCAGAAGGACAGAAGACTGGCAAAATAGGCTTGCTGAGGGGGTCGGGACCTCGAAACACCTCGGAAGCGGAAATGTGCCCACGGGAGCGGCATTCGTCCACCCCTATAAGTTTTTTTGCAGGCCGTTTACAGGATCCCGGAGATCCCGCCCATGACTGTGACAGGGGGGAGGGGGGGGGGGGACTGGCGCGTCCCGTCACACTTATGGTGGCCCAGGGCTTTGAGACCCCATACAAAAGTCGCGCGCCGAAGAACGTGGAGTCCATGAATGCCCAGACTGAAAATACTAAGAACACCAAAGCTAAGAACGTCTGTCTAGACCATTGCAACGGTTAGTAGGTCTCGGGAAATGCATATATGAAAACCGTTGTTAGGAACGAAGATAACTCCGGTTCGGACAAGAACACTCGAGCGACAAACGACAGTCAGAAGTTGTTGCTTTTTTTTAAACCACTCTTGCCGTTGTTGTGGTTGTTGTTGTTTCAAATCTTTATTCTCACGATAGCCAGTGGCCAATAAGAGATAGTTGTTGTTGTTGTTGTTGTTGCTGCTGCTGTTGTTGCTGTTGTTGCTGCTGTCGCTGCTGCTGTTGTTGTTGTTGTTGCTGCTGCTGTTGTTGCTGTTGTTGACTTGCGGTTGTGTTGTTATTGTCGTTTCAAATTGTTATTTTTGCTATGGCCCATGCCCAATAAAAGAAAATTTCAAAAGTGTTGTTGTTGTTGTTGCTGTTGTTGTTGTTGTTGTTGTTGTTGTTGCTGTTGTTGTTGTTGTTGTCGTTGTAGTTGTTGTTATTGTTGTTGTTGTTGTTGTTTTTGAGTAGATTCTTGACAGAAACAGCAGCAGTAGCGAACAAAAATTCACACCAGGTCGGCAAAAGGAAATTCTACAGGGTGAAGTTAGAAAATGTACGAAGTCATTTTGACCTTCCCCGCTTCCACAGGGACACAAGCACCCATCTACAATGTATATTCCAAAGTTTGAGATGCAGCTCAGCTGCCAACAGGCGGTTCAAAATACATTTAAATGAGTAAAACCATGCCGGTATTGCGTTTAACGTTGCTCTCAATACATTACATACTCCTGCTGATGTATGCTATCAGGCTCAACCGACGAGTACTTCAACGTAATGTTTAGAATAGAAGGTAACACTAGAGCAGGTGATCAGTCTTTTAAACCGTCCCTGCATAGAGTACGGAAACAGGACAATGAAAACATCGGTAAACACCTGGAAACTGGACCTGCAGTTCCAGGCATACACTCACACGCATGCAATGATAAAACTCGATTCCGTCGCGTGGTATAGCGCGTAGTAGGAAAACGGATGCTTGCCGCCACGACAAAGCCGCTCAGGACTTTGGCAGAGATGCGCCCAGTGCGCCGCCAGGGTGGTTGCCCCGGAAACGGCCAGCGTCGAATTTGGTCTTGGTTATGATGTCATTGGTGATGCAGTTGACGAGTGACTCCTGAAGGATGGGAGCATGACACATATAGTTCCATACTGATCGTTAGAGTGTTAGCGACCGTCATGAGCTCCCTTCAGGAATGGACGCGATGGGGGGGGGGGGGGGGGGAGGGGTCAAGTGCTGCTCGTTTCACAAGTACCCCACAACCATGACACTCCTCTGCATGTATTCATCATAATCGTCACAAGACGTTTGGAGTATGGAAGTTCGTAAAAAAAGTGAGTTCAAAGAACAATGATGCACTCGGGAGAAAACCGACACAATGGTCAGCATACACACATGTTTGTTTAGAGGACGGGGTGCGGGTATGAGGAAATACAAAATTCCGTTTTGAAAACATATCGGGTGCATCTGAGGACGGTCCCGAAGTCAAAGTACCGAACAATTCTTCATAATGCTAGCTTCAAACAATGCCCTGTGCGTGCAACATGAGAACACAAGACTTTATTGGCAACCTGATCCACATCTGCTGAACTTGTACAGCAACACGAGTATTCTGAGCCATCTCTGCTCGGGCTAGATATGATTGCTATAAGAACAGCAGGCAAGTTTAGGCAACATAACCATACCCGGGTGCCCTATATCCAAATAAGGTTATCTCTGGGTCGTATGCCCCTTTGGGACCCGGACTATCGAATTGGCCAAAATCTACTGTTCCCTTCCCGATTGTCCTAATCGAGGCATCTATGTTCGAATAGAACCTTGGCTATCATGTCAAACTTATCTGCATTGTCTAAGAGGCATGGGGTCGGTGAAGTGAGCATCAAAGTTGGAGACAAACTAAACCTGTGCTATGGTCAAATAATCTGATCTTGAGAGGCATAACACCTTGACAGAAACACCTTGAGAGGCATAACACGTCGAGAGACGTTCCCGCGATGCCATGTAAGGGCATATTCGATTGGCCGAACCCGTGGGCTCCGGATCCGGATTCGCCAGGTTTGGACCTGTTCGATTGCACAAAGCCGGATTCAGGTCGCGCGGATTCGAATCTCGTCAACTCACCTCCCAAAGGTGGATCCGACAAGTTCAACAGATCCATTTTCGCTCTGCTCGCGAAATCGGGCAAAATTCTTGCTTTTCTTGCTGCGGTTCAATAATTCTTGGCCTTGGCAAAAACATTTTTGAGCGCGCCATTCTTGTTTGCCATGCCAACCAACCCCATCCTTTTTAAACCACATGGATCTGAAATCAGTTTCAACTGCTCGATTGGATCCGTTCAATCAAACTGATCGGCTTGGCGGGATGCAGATTCAGGTTCCACAATCCAATGCAACCTAATACTCAAGCATGTAGCGAGTCTCAAATTAGCGCTTGACGGACAATCCTTTCATTGCAGTTTTGTTCAGAGTCGATGTGATGCCAGAGAATGAAACGACACCTGTTTACGAGACAGGTATTTCTATGAATGTCAACACTATAACCAGGCTTATGTGCCGACAGTGTATCTTGAAAATCAGGCTTTAATCTTGGTGAAAGGAGTTTGCACATGGCTGCGGCAGTCTAGACCCATGCAGAGCTGTTGAGAGCCACTCCGTCTCGGAAATACCGTTGCACCGCATGTTGATTTGCAAACACTGGCTAATGTTTGGCAGAAGATTTCCGCTTTTCGAATGTTGACTGGGAATTTCTTTGCCATGCGGCTTGATTTCCCATGCTGCAACCTATTCGTCACATCACCTCTCAACCCTTTGGAGCTCTACTGATCACACAACACCAAAAATATAAGCACAATCGCAATTGTACTACTTTTTCAAATTTCCAACATACCTCTACTCTTGCTTTACCGATTTTCATGATCTTGGGCTCGGTGGAAAGCTCTTGGAAAGGGGATGACAACCACAAGTAGTAGGAGGTGATGACAGCCGCAAGTAGTAGGATAGCAGGCACCAGTGCTTACCTGAGCAATTAGACTGGCTGTTGGAACGCCGCCGGCGGGTTCGGTCAGGCTGCATGGTCCGTACGCCACCACGTTGCACGGCTCGACGAGCTGGGCCAGACGGGAATCTGAAAGTCAGTGCAGCAAAAAGAATAGCAGTAACTACTTCAGAAAAGACCATGTCTGTGGCAATGATGCCCGCGACAATCTCTTATTGGCGATGGTGCCATCGTGAGAATAAAGAATTTAAAAAAACACAGATTCCCGAAACGTTAGTGGAAAGCGTATAATGCATTGTGCATGATGAAGACACCATCAAGACCATACCCGTCATACCCGTCTTGGCTTGGCTATTCCAAACAGACAATCACAGACCATAAATATACAAAATTCTGTCGCTGCAACATTTCGGCATTTCACGATTTTCGACATTTCAGCAGCGATTTATTTTCGGCACGGGATTACAATACTAGTACAGTGTACATCACCAAAGCTGAAGTGAAAATTTCATCAGCGTTTTAATGTCGGCGGTTTGGGTCGGTGCCGTATAAAGCCGAAATTGAATAGCCGCCGAAGTTTTGAATATTACAGTTACACAATTATACCAACAGGGATTACTGCCACATGCACCCGTCTCGATATTGTGCAGGGATGACATTGGAATGCACGATTGACGACCAAGCAAACAACCTGGATTTGAGGTCAATGCCACAATGCTGGCGCCACGCTGCTTCAGTTCATCGCACAGAGCGACCGTCTCGGCCGTGTTCCCGCTGTGTGACACCAACATGACAATGCTATCCTTGCTGACCTTGCCTGTCGTGAACAAAGTGATCCCACAGGAAAGCAAAGAACAATCAATGCAATCTCTCTCGCATGACACACTTGTGATTGCACGTTTACACGCACGCACGCACGCGTGCGCACACACACACACGCACACACACACACACACACACACACACACACGCACACACACACACACACACACACACACACACACACACACACACACACACACACACACACACACACACACACACACATGTCGAATCTCTAGATGCTACAACCCACTGATGACTGTTTTGAGACCGTGGTTTTACCCAACGCAGGCCAGGGCGCAGTTACAAGCAAAACTGATGTACCAAAGGCATGCGTGTGCATCGGCACACACCTCGACTCTGTCCACTTTCGATTGCCATCATCCTTTCTAAGCAAGTCACATTCTAGCATACAAGACTTTACAGTATGTGCTGGTAGGACTGCTAAAGTAGCAAACTAACTAAAACGCAAGACAGAAAAAGGAAAGAAAAAATGGACTTCAGTTCCGTGGCTACCCCTTCACCCCGGCTGCCTTCTGAACGCATCATCAAGCTCCCGCGGTGCACATGGAATCCTTGCCTTTCAGAAAGGGGAATACCCGTCAAGAAAACATCCCTTTTGAAGTTCTACACTTGCATGCTACAGCACTATCGGTCGCCGAAGAACTGAGGGGCAAGCCTTGTAGCCTAGACCGTTCTTTTTATTAAACACTTCTCATGTTCTTGTAATACAGTCTATGCACAGTTGAGTCACCGTGTGTTCATTAGTATACAGTGCTTGGTGGCATTCTAGCCTGGTCGTTCCTCGGCGCTCCGTTCTTCGGCGCTCCGTTCTTCGGCGCTCCGTTCTTCGCCGCCCCGTTCTTCGGCGCTCCGTTTTTCGGCGCTCCGTTTTTCGGCGCTCCGTTCTTCGGCGCTCCGTTCTTCGGCGTTCCGTTCTTCGGCGCTCCGTTCTTCGGCGCTCGACAGTACTGCACTCAGTGCTATGCTATTCTATTCCAGTCTAATGGTATTACAGGACATTGCTGCGGCTAAGCAGTCTCACCTAGATCGCCATGGTGAAACTCGGTGGCGTGGACAAATTCACACGGCACGCTGATCGAGCTCAGCGTTGCTGCCAAGCGGCGAGCTACAAGGCCGGATTTTCCTGCCAACAACAACAACACCAACAACAACAAAAACTCGTACACAGCATTCATATAGCAGTTCATATACCTGTTCTACAACTGACTGCCAATCAGCTCTAGCACATAACTGTGCAGTGACCTGTGCAAATAGACTACTGCAGCAAGAAACCATCATTGACGACCGGCCATTTTAGAAACATACAAGTTGGAAGGTCATTGGCTAGCGCTATCGAGCTGTGCTCAAGCTGACGTTCATGCCTTGGTGCATATCAGTACTCCTTGTCAGTTTGGTGCTAAATTGTGCAGGTCCGACTGTTTATAACTCTTCACTTCTCCAACTTTAAAAACGGTCTCCTTGCTGCGAATCACTTTACATTTAACCAAATACTGTAAAACATGACATTTTAGTTGTATCACAATTTCGGTGTCAGGGACATGCCAGGCTTCAGGTGTAATGTAGAATTAGGTGACCAGCATTCCCTTCGCATACAATGTATACCCTGGTGCCTTTTAGGTGTAATCTAAATTTAGGTGCCTGGCTTCTCTACCGAGATCACCGAAATTAAGTTACACCGAAAATATCGTGGTTTACAGTACTCGGGCCTGGCCCATCATCAGGCTGAACAATGCAACGTACCTACTCCTGAAATGAGCACACTTCCCCTGCAGGCTATAAGCTTGTCACTGAGTTCAGAAATCCTGGCATAGGATGTTGAGCCGATCACACTGTTAACGGCCTCGATGTCGGAGAGAAGACTTTGGTGAATTGTAGGATGAAAATTCTTGGATGCACTAGCCACCCCTGTAGATGGTTGCGCTGGAGCGTCCGCAGAGGTTGATTTCTGCTCAACGATTAGATCTTGAACATGCTCCCTACACATGTGCATGGGTACATTCGCCCACGCACGTACACACACACACACACACACGCACGTACATGTGCCTCCCTCCCCCCCCCCCACACACCCACACACATGCATCCGCATGCACACACGCACACACACATACACACACACATACACACATACACACACACACACATGTGCACACACATATACACACACACACACAAGAGCACACACACACAAATAAAAATTTTGGATTGAAAAACGAGATAAACAAAGCCATGATCCGTATCTTCCGAGCCTAATTCCATCTGTCTCCAGTATGGACGTAAAACATCAACTGAAAAACAGCAGAGCAAACCTTCCACCCTGAAGCGTCATGCTGCCCGGTCATGTTAGAATGCTTCGAGTGTGTGCGGAAAGCACTGGGATATCATTGGCCTTCAAGTTTCAACGGCCCAGTTTTCGACATACCTCGTTTCTGCCGTTGGCACAGCTCCAAGGACTCGACAGCAGGCACTGCCCAAGCGGTTCGCAACAGTCCCGCACTGCCTGTTGTTCAGTGACAAAAGAAAACAGAGGAAAGCAATCAAAACACACAGCTATCATAGTCTCTTGTATTTTAAAGCCTGTCTGACATAAAAGCCTGTTCTGAATACAAGCCTGTTTTGAATACAAGCCTGTTTTGAATAGAAGCCTGTTTCGAATACAAGCCTGTTTTGAATACAAGCCTGTTTTGAATACAAGCCTGTTTTGAATACAAGCCTGTTTTGAATACAAGCCTGTTTTAAATACAAGCCTGATCTTCAAGATGCACTGTCGGCACAAAACACTGGTCTGTGAAACGGTGCAAGGCGCGTACTTGAGTGACGCGACTGGATTTCATTGAGCAGTGCTGTACTTCGCTATCGGTTGTTGCATTCGTAGAATTTCGTTAGTGTTGACACATATAGAAATACCTGGTTTGAATAGAAGCCTGATGCAAATAGAAGCCTAGCCCAGACATCGGCTTCTACAGAAATACGCCCGGCTTGAATACGCGATACTAGGGTATACATCCGGGACAGTCGTTGGTTTATTCTACAATGGCTGAAAGTCATATTTCAAAGTTGAAGTGCTTCGTTACAATCAACATTAAAACGGCATCGCTCCGTTTCCAACTCCATCACTTTGCTACCAATGACAATGTTGCTATTTTAGAGACTACGGCATCTACCGAGAGACCTGTGATACTGATAAAGAGCCATGGCTGGCAATTAAGACGGGTAGCTAGAATTGCTGTCACACACACACACACACACACACACACACACACACATACATGCATACACACGCACACACGCACGCACACACAAATACACACGCACACACGGGTATGCGCTGGAGTGCTTACGTCAGTTCTTCGCGCGAGCTAGGTATTTTACCCAGGGTGTTCATGGTGGCAATCAGTCCTCCAAGGAAAGCATCACCCGCTCCCGTGGCATCTACCACTCTGTCCAGCTTCACGGGTGCTACACTGACAGCCTGTAGAGCGTGTTAAGACAAAGAGCAGAGAAGAGATAATCTATGTTGAGATAATCGTCTAATACTGTAAGACATGTATATATAACGAGGAAGTAAATCTAACGTTTTAACGGATGACATTTCTTCGTTATAATAAGATCCGTTGAGGCCGTACTGCTTCATATATGTTGTGTGTGGATATGGCAAAATACTGCAAGATCGTTAACATATCTTCTCGTTAACCTATGAATTTTGGACAATCGTTAAATTTGCGACTCGTTATAATAACATGTCATACAGTAACAGCTATGAAAACTTGAAAGTATGAATGCCATAGACATAACCACGCAGAATGACGACTTGTTAGACGTTTGAAAATGTGTGTTTCCAGAATAGATTTTCTAGCTCCGACCATGAGTGGAAATATGGAACTGAAGTGATCAAGTTCAGCAGAGAAGAGCAATGTCACATTCGTCTCGAGGCCGTAATCGGATGAGTTGAATCACACACCGGCCAAGTAGGATCAAGAGTATCGCATTCTTCAGCATACTTCGATTCCACCACATCGTCTTCGTGTTTCGAAGTGCATAAACATGACACAGATAGATAATTTCCCCCTCTCTCTCTCACACACATACACACTAACTCATTCTCACACGCACACGTGCACACACACGCACGCATGCACTCGCACGCATGCACTCGCACGCACGCGCACACACACACGAACACACACACACACACACACTCTCTCTCTCTCTCTGTCCCTCTCCCTACTGGGCGTAAATATGACACAGATAGTAGCAAAGAGGCAAAAGTTTGCTGCACAAGCTTTGAGTTAACTGTGCCCTGAACTGAGTTCTGTGTGATAGCACCGGGTACTGTGCCCTGAGCTCAGGTTTGTGATACTGTGTGATAGCACCGAGTGGTACATGTACTGTGCATGCTTGGACCTGAGCTGAGTTCTGCATGACCACACCTGATGGTACTGTGCCCTGAGCTTGGGAAACTTACATGCGACTCGGTGACAAAGCAAGACGGCGCGAGGCCGTCCGTCATGGCAATAAGACGCGAGTCGCACAGCTGTCTGAGCAGCGCCGATAGCTGCATTGTGTCCATCGACTCAATACTATGCAACACACACACACACACATACGTGCACACATATACACACACACACGCACACGCACACACACACACACACACACACACAAACAGTCAGTGTCCCGTTTTCGTCGTGCAGAACGTTGAATCCCCGACCAAGATTAACGCCGTACATTAGAAATTTATGAAAGAGCACGACAAACAGTACTGCCGGGCGCCGAAGAACGGAGCGCCGAAGAAAAACAGCGTATGATTTCACCAAGCACAGCATACCAATATATTATGCGGTGATTCAACTGTGCATAGACTGTATAGTACAGGATAAGAGTGTAGCACACTGTAGTAGTATGCAAAACATACATACAGCCGGGAACAGCGAAAAACTGGCTACTTCACCCCGTTGACCTCCGCATGTCCGCCGATTGCTTAGAGTGTGGAACTCTGTGATTGTAACTGATGATTCTCCACGCTCCCTGCTCTATGCGCAACCTTCACCTGACCGTGTTGAGAACATTTTCACTGGACTACTGCAAGAGTTGAAAGTTTAACGAGCTTAAAGGGGAAGTATACCCTAAAATCAAATTTTCACCAGTTGTAGTCTTCGGGGTGCTGAGTCGAATGGTCGTGGTCCGAGGAAGCTGAGACGCTCCCTTCCTACTTGAATCCCAATCGAACTCGCGCACTTCCACCGAAACTGGGTGACTGCGCCCTACTAGATGGGGATTTGTATGCAAAATGTCACTAAAAGCGCCATTTCGCTCTTATAAAAGCACGGATGACCGCGATTGGCCCATATGTTGTAGTCTTTTTGACGCTGAGTCGACTGGTTTTGGTCCGAAAAGGCTGCGATGCAGCGTTCCTCCTTTATTCCCAATCGAACATGGTTGAACAAGCGGTCACGTGCTCCTGCGTACACCAGTCACCTGGTCACCGTGCCTGCAGGGTACAACTTACTAGCCTGTTTGACCTTTTTTGGGTGCAGTCCTGTCACTCGAGTTGAACTCGAGTTGAACCTTGGTGTGAAAGTTGTCGCCTGCTGGCGCGGTGACCAGGTGATTTGGGCACCCAGGAGCACGTGACCGCTTGTTCAACCATGTTCGATTGGGAATAAAGGAGGAACGCTGCATCGCAGCCTTTTCGGACCAAAACCAGTCGACTCAGCGTCCAAACGACTACAATATATGGGCCAATCGCGGTCATCCGTGCTTTTATAAGAACGAAATGGCGCTTTTAGTGACATTTTGCATACAAATCCCCATCTAGTAGGGCGCAGTCACCCAGTTTCGGTGGAAGTGCGCGAGTTCGATTGGGATTCAAGTAGGAAGGGAGCGTCGCAGCTTCCTCGGACCAAGACCATTCGACTCAGCACCCAGAAGACTACAACTGGTTAACAGGTTTTTTTAACGATTTGCAAAATTGTTCCTAAACAGTCGGCGAGGAGACAACAATTTTAATATCGCAATAGGGATGGTGTCTCTTCAGCTCATCCTCATTGCGATATTAAAATTGTTCCTTCTCGTTAAATCAAACTTCGTGCCCATTCGAGATTTGACTCTTTATTTAATTTTAAGTATTCCAATTTCGGAAACAAACGCATAGAGTCGTAATTTCTCGTAAATTTCTCCGCGTAGCTCAAACCATCCAATTAAGGAAGAGAAGGGCAAGCAAGTGTGTAGCTTACTCCATCATGCTCATGTGCGGAGCAATCAGCTTGAGAGCACCTTCGGCAGCATGCCTCGCTGGCTTGAGTACATCAGCGCTGCGGCAAACTCTGTGGACAAAACACCAGCCACGCCACAGAAGCACACATCTCCAGGATGAAATTGCATGCGGCAACCAGGATGTTATGTGAAATGGAGTGGCGAGGCAGATGACGCAGTGAGGCATTCTGCTGGAGTTGCATCACATCCTATCAAACTGAAAACAAGTACAGAAGAGGCGTGTGCAGAAGAACGTGGAGCCCACGAACTCCCAACCTGAAGTGCTGAGAACGCCGTAGACTAACTTAAGTTAAGAAAGTCGATATTGGTGCTCTGGCAGCTTTTGTCATACACCTGTATATAAACATGTGTGCATACAATCCAGTAAAAATTGATTCCAAGAATGTGCTATACACATGCAGCCAGAATGCTCAAACATACGAATGTCCCAGTCACACCTCTTGGAAACGACGTTCTAGGGCGCATGACTGCTGCAAGCGGACAAAGTCTTGGTTATTACGTCGTGTGTGATCAATGTCACGTTTACCAAAGCACGGTACTTACTCAACGAACTCCTCCTTGGTGCCAAGCAAGGCTTCGTGTACAGCAACCTGAAAAACAAACAAAGAAAAAAATTACTGTTCAAGTAAACACAACGCATGTACTTTTATAGGTTCTGGCAAGATTGATCGCCTGCCATGCTTGTTATACCACTCATAAATTGAGTCATAATAGCGATCTGTAAGACTATCGATGCACTACGTTACGGTGACTAAGGCTATAACAAAACAACATACTCAAACTTGGGTCTAGCACTGTTGGGCGCCGAAAAACGACCAGGCTAGAATTTTAACAAGCACAGGATACCAACGTACGCACGGTGACTCAACTGTGCATAGACAATAGTACATGAGAATAAGAACGGTCTAGGTAGGTGGCTGACCCATGTGTCTATCGTGCTGGTCGTTCTTCGGAGCTCCGTTCTACGGCGCCCGACAGTACTGCACTGTTAAAACACTAAGGGTGCGTTCCTTTATTCTTCTGTCTCTTCTTTGAAAGGTCTGCTAGGAATAGATGAGATGAGAATATTTTTCGAACGGGTCAGAAGAGATCTAGGATTTTTCCCAGTGTGCCACGGCAAACAGGACATTTTTTCCCAATGCGTCATGGCAAACAAGAATTTTTTCGGAAGACGCATTTTTTGTTTTGCCAAAAACTGACCCAAAGTCCCTTTCGTGCATGCGCAAGTGACAAAACGCGGGAATCTTCCACTTTCTTTCACTTTCTTCCACCTCAAGAGCTGGAAGAACCGGCAGAGCTTGGTAGAGTCTGCTGCTTTGGGCAGACGATAGTGAACGCTCTTCCAAATTTTGGAGATTCTGACAGAGGATAAACGAACACACCCTAATTATCCTTTACTTCAAGAGAAAAAGGAGGCAACAAAAACACAGGGCAGACCATCAAATTTCAAAACTTACGTCCGGCGAAACATCCAGGTCGACAACAGACGGGATGCCGTTCTCACTGAAGGAATCAAGTCACAAAAACGTTGCGGTCAATGACTGGTCTTGGCACACATCTACAGCTTCAGTGAGTGTTTGTTAAGTCTGCGTGCAAGTGATAAGAGCTCTCGTGTCAAGTAACAATACAGCTGCAGTTGCAAAGAATTGTTGGAGGAAAACAGTTTTCACCACTAAAGAAAGCCGTATGCAGGTATGCAATGTAGAGGTGGTGATTAGATTGGGCTGCTCACCGAGCAAGTCGAATCAGCTCCAGCACGCCGCTGAGCGGAACCTGCGATATCTCCGTGGACACCAGACTGGCTGAACTTGCTATGGCGCCACCTGCGCAGGACAGAGCGAGGAAAGGCACACATGTACACACTGCAATACACCTGCAACCAGTGTCACGACGAGTGTCGTGATTCTATTCCAGCTAAACACATATGCAAACCAAGTCATCATATTACTACATGTACAGGAGTCGCGATCTGGCTTCACCTTATTTTCTCCTCGTTTTTCACTTACATACGTAGTACCTCGCGAGTTCACCATTCTGGGCTCACACCCAGACCACCGCGTGTCGACCACGACATGACATCCATCTTGTTCTTTTCTGTTGAGTTACCCTCTTTTTCCGTTTTCATCTTGGGGCAACAGCGAGTTCTCGCTCGTGCCATATCACTTCAAAGAAACGGAAATTGTTCAATACTCTAGATCCTTGTGCGGTTTGAACTCACCCCTAGCTCTCCCATTGTGCCCAACTAAACTTCATTCCGCACAACCAGAAGATATCATACTGCAATACAACTGCAACCAGAATATATCCACTTCCCCCAGTACTGCACACTATTCTCCATTCCATTACTGTATCACAGTAAACCAACCAATGTTCGCAACACTAAATGTTCGCAATTCAGAAAGATGGAGCAGTTTGCGGCGTTTTTTACTCGTGATTCTCGCGATCCAGATACAATATACAGGGTTCCAGGCAAAGGAGGGCGGAGGGGCGGGGGTGAACTGTCTGTTTCACTACCCCCACCCCCTCTACAAGTTGTTATTGGCTAGAACCCTGATATACAAGTAATCTAATTTCAGAAATTTTCGGTGCTCAATATTTTCGGTATGAGGGCAACAGGCCAAGCTAGGTGAACAGTTTTTAGGTACGGAGAAGCAGTTCCCTATTGGATTATGTGTGTTCGTGTTTGTTCGGTGTACAAGTATTGAAATTTTAGGTATGAAACAGACGCACCGAAAGTACCGAAAATAAAAGTACACCGAAAATTTGTGAAATTACAGTACATACTCGTATGGTTTGCTGCAGAAGCTAATGCAGTCTCCGGTATTACAAGAGTTGCACAACGCCTCTTGTACGGGCACAGAAAATTGAATTTGTGCTGCCGAACTTTCGCGATTTGACGGCCTTCGCGAAAAACGCGAACATTTCTAGGTAGAGAATAATAGGCAGCCCACAGTACCCTGGGCTGTGTGCGTCCCCGTAGATTGCCATACTCAGTTCTGGATACGGATTGACCAATCAAACATGTTCTGTGTGATTGCTGCTGTTCCGAATGCTCCGGTGAGTCTGATCTGAAAACGGATTGACCAATCAAACATGTCCTATGTGATTGCTGGGCAGAACATTTATTATCAGTTTATCACTCGCCCTGAGCTTCCTGGCTGTTTTTTGTATTCTGTATCTCGTTATCGTTATCTTTTCCTCTAGCCCTCTCGCTTAGGATGAGCTTTCTTTTTTATGGCAGCTTAAGCGAAGGCTATATACCTGCTTTCTGCAGGTTGATGCCAACGCGAACAAGCAAAATAATAATAATAATATCACTCACCAAATGATTCAGCAACTTGCTCCTTGTTAATTTGGGATGTGGCACCTTTGGCCATAATGATACTCCGTTCACCACCTTCTTCCACAAACACCAGCGACTATTGGGGAACAAGCAAACGAGAAAAGGCAAAGAACACTACTTGATTTCCATTGTCATTCTTACTTCCTGTTGATAGTGCCTCGGATTGAGAACAACGAAAACGCAAACATTTACTTACTAGTACTTCTGAATTCTACGAAAGATGTTCACGGACGTATACACAAGCATTGCCAAGAATTACTTTGAAGTGTATGCTCGTACCTGGGCAGTTGTGTACGAATCTTTCACTGCAAACAACAGACACGCATGCACACACGCATGCAAAACACACACACACTCAATACATGCGTGCACCCACACATACACACGTACACACATGAATGCACGCGTAAGCCGGCAAGTGTGGTGAGACAGCGCAGTCATAGTCATATACATGTGGTAATATTGCAACAGGACAAGATAAATCGCGGCCACACTCGGAGTTCCATGACCAACTACATTGTATGTGCAACACTGCTGTACGCTGCCCACCCTGCCGCATCGCTAAGCGGAGCACCAGAGCAGTGCTTACCCTCGATGAATTTCGTTGCAACGCCCATCTTGTCAAGCTCCTGCCGAATTAGCTTGCCGTGGTGATCCGTGCCCTGGAGTGCGAGCAGGCCCGTCGGTGCTGCAGCAAGATACAGCAGGATCATATGAATTAAGTTGCTGGATACACCAGTACACGCATCCAAACAACAGGAAGCAAGACTTCGGGAGCATTGTTCGGTCATCAGATAAATCCCAGTCCCTTCGTAACTGTTCTAGAGTGTGTCTGGACGAGAATGCATAACTACAATGACCACACAGTACAGAATGGCAATGACTCTCGCATGTCTAAGTTAGCTCACACGTACTCGTCATAAGCCACACACACGTCAGGGCAGCATGCACATGTATGAATGTGAATAGCAACTACTAAACTAGCAAGCCATTCGCTTGCATGAAATTACGAATTTTGTCCCCATAACTAAATAAGTGGCGTATCGTGCATAGCCGACTCAATAGGTGCATAGACTGTACCACAAAACCAATCTATCGCTGCTCCCAAACGAAGTACCAATGACCATAACTTACTCCCTAGCAGCTGGGCCCAACACAGATGGTTCAATGTCACGCCACCAACATACTCGGCCTCCAGCACCTTGGTTGGGCTACAGACCATAGAATATACAATACGAATCGGAAACGGCAAACAAACGTATCAGCTGCGTGCAAGCATGCTACCACATCATGCTACGCTTTCCCCACCAGAAGTACTGGTGGGATTGTGCCTGGAGTGTCTCTTTCCGTGCAACATATTTCACCCTGTTTCAGAGACCCACAGTAGTGCACAGTACACCGATGCTCCCATGTTTTCTCGGTTCTTCTCTTCCGGACCTGGATGTCCAGTTTGAGCGAGTGAAGGTAGTTGGTGATCGCATTTACCTCACTGTGCTTCGTCTAGTTTGAAGCAATATCATCTAGGACATCTCTCCTCGGCATGCTGGGAGGAAAAGAGCAAATACGTACATCATCCCCAGCTTGCCCAGACTGGACATTGGCATGGAAAAGGCCATGCAATAAGTATTATTAGTTTACTACTCTCAATATTCATCATGAACAACTCCACCAAGAGGTATCTTCCGGCCCATTAAAACTCGAGTATTGTAAAGTGGTGGGAAACGTTCGCTAGGGATGAGACTTTACTACATGTGCGACCATCACACATTCCGAGCTAAGATGTTGCAACATCGGCGGTGATGTGTGAAGAACGTGTCTGCTCCAAACGTCAGAGCTCGCGCCTCCTGCCGACTGATTTGTTGACACTTGACTGACTCACGATGCGTCTGGAAACACTGTGTATTGAGCAGGGAGTGATGCTTTCCTCCAGGTTTGCCGAGTGGAAGGTTCGACAGGCTTCTCGTGTGCTCCAGACGCAGTCGTGAGTTGGTCAAGGGTCTAGTCAGTCGGCAGGAAGCGCGAGCTCCGACATTTGGAGCAGACACTTTCTTCATTAATCGCCCCAAACTGCTCTGATGGTGAGCCAATTAAAATATGGTGAAAAAAGGACAGTGGTGGACAGTTAGTCATAACTCGCAACATTTTGTCTTTCTCCTTTTTTCACCAAACTACTCTGTGCATTTTGTGGACGATACATGATGAGACTTTAAAAGAGATCAAATAGCGAAAAATCTCTAATCGTAAACCAGAGTAATTCTTAAAAATGCAACAGTTGCACGCTACTTAATTCTTCCATTTTACAGAAGCTAGGCACGTGCAGGCCCGCCGGAACTGGTCCAGTTGGTCAGGCCACGGCCGGACAAACGTTTTTGGCCACCAACGTGTGCTAACTGCCGAGGAGGTCACGTGTACCCGCCCGCCGTATCATGTACACAAAGTATGAAAGACTATGATGGTATGCCCGGACCAATCAAAAACTACTTCCGCCGGTCGTGACGTGTTCGGTATGTACGGAGAGGAGGGAGATGCACCACCCGTACACCAAACTACCTGGGAACTCATCACCACAGATATTTCGTGGCACTTTGCCCCGGCACGAGGATTCCCGCATCGAGCGCCAAGATGTCTTTGCCGGCGACTTCCTTGAGCAGCACTGCGTCCGTTTACGGTGACTTTGGAGATGACGCGAGCAACTCTAGTCCCCTGATTCCCCCTGAATGATTCATATAGTGCGCCCACATACACATGTCGGCAGTATATAATATAATTATAGTACGCGCACATACACATGTCAGCAGACACAGCCTGACGTGTACATCACTCGCCAATGACAGGATGCGTGCGCTTCTCGTTGGCTGAATATTCGAAATACACGAGAAGTATTGTTCTTTCGAACGACGAACATCTGCGATGCGTGTTTTTTGTGTTTTTGTTCTTTTCTGTATATAATTATTTCATTTTATTTTTTGAATGTTATTGTGGTGTCATGGTAATGACATGGAAGGTCGTGCAATATGGCTGTCCGCAGCCAACCCTGCACTAGCTATGGCTGATGTGAGGTGTCAGAAAGAACACAAAATAACATCCACAAATATCCATAGCCACTTACTCTTGAAAGAAACCTTTCTCTCCGGGCCGGGGAAGGGCTGCAAGCGAGAGAGATAGAGAAAAAAAAGGTTGACAAGGACAGGATCGTTTCGTGAGAGTTGTACGAAAGCTAGTTCAAATCATGTTGCGCAGTTCCTGCTATAATCTGTTCACATATGAAAAAGCAAGAAAGAGTACATGAAAACCAGAGGGTGCAGCTCGGATGGGTCGCTGTCACGGCGGAATTCCGTGATCAAATCATTTTAGTGATGTAGTGCGTACAAGCAGGATTCAAGCAGGTCTCTTTCTGCACAACTGCAGCTCAGTTGTACACACTAAGGGGCCGTCCGTAATTATCGAACGTTTTTCACCAAACGAATTATTTTAGTTTAGACCCAACCTCTCCCTCCCTCCCCCTCAGAACGTAAAAAAAGTTTGACATATGCATGCATAATACAACAAAAGTTGCAAGTGTGTAACTGCTCCTATGGGCATGTACATGTATCAATGTTTTCTGAAACGAAATTGGTCAACCCCCTCCCACCCCATAACGAAATTATTTCATTTTGTGAAAAAAGTTCGATATTTATGGACGACCCCTAAGCCATTTCCCGCCTCAGACCTGCGCCAAATATGATGTAATCACGGAATTCTGCCGTGACAGACACCCACAGTAGAAAAAGCTCCAAGCTGCACACTCTGGTTTTCATGTACTCTTAGAAAAAGAGATAGGGTCCAACTGACAACGCTTTGGGCACTGGGCACTTCTCAGGCAGTTTGCCAGACCTCTAGATGCTTTGTAGTCTCTGTTCATCACACTTCTCTCCAATACAGCTCCTTCTTTGTAATTCAAAGAAGTGCTTGTGGTACATGTATTATCAATTCAGCCGATTGTCATCCAAAGATAGGCTCACTGTTCATATGAGCCGCGACATCACAAAAGGGTGCTTATGGCAAGCGACATAAAACTGCGAAAAACTCGTTTGAAAGTTGAGTATGCAATATTGAGAGTGCACATTTTCTTTTTGAATTCGATCAGTTTCGTTGCGATTTATCAAGCTTTTTGAATGCGTTTTTTTGCAACACAAGCAGTGAGAATTCAGCCATTGCGGTGTATTCATAACTCAGTTTGTGACATTTTCGCCATAAGCACCCTTTTGCCATGGTGCGGCTCATATATTCTACAGTTTTCGTGAAGACAGAAATGAAATCAACGCAATAAGTAAAGCAAGTTGAGCATTCAAAACACACACCATTTGCACACGTTAGATTGAATTACCTTTGCCAGTAAATTCCTTATGAAGAGATGGCAACGGAAACGTTCAAGGAAACCTAACCTGTACGAATGGTGTGTGCTTTGAACACGCAACTTGCTTTAATTATTGCGTTGAGTTCATATATCCATGCAGCATTACAGCTCATTGTAACCGGTTCTCACACATACCTTTGACCATGTAGAACGAATCCACAACATTGCTGCCACAACCGAGCGCAACACGACCTGAAGCATCAGACAGTAAATGTACACAGACTTCCATCCTGTTGATCGTGTCCAAACCTACTGGTAGTGACTGGTACAGCTCTACTACTACTACTACTACTACTACTACTACTACTACTACTACTACTACTACTACTACTACTTCATGTACATGTACTACAATTCATACAAATCTCCAAGACCGTGGGTGCGAATGGTGCGAAATGAAGGCAATACAAATGCCGGCCTTTATATAGAGAGACTCAGGTGGAGAGCCAAGGACTAACAAGGCGTGCTTGCCTCAAGTGATTACAGTTAGTTGCAGAATGTCACTACCGTTGATCAGTGCCGTGCAATGTTATCGCATGAGTTGATAATATATAAATACTACAGTAAAACCGGTACCTAAAGACCACCGTGACTAGCGACCAGCCTGGTACTACAGACCGCTTCGCCAAGCACGGACGGTTTCACATTCATATAATATTATGGTTGTGCGGTGCAAACCTCTAACTAAGGACCACCTGCCACTAAAGACCGCTCTTTCTGGCCCCAAGGGGTGGTCGTTAGTCACAGGTTTCACTGTATAATAAATAATCTTTATTTCAGGATTACCCAAACGCTAACGTCTACTTGTACCTGGGGGATCTCCTACTTGTGTATGTACGTGTGTGTATGTACCAGGAACAGATTGTCAAGTAACTGATGCTGCTAGTAGCGCAACTTGTAGCTCCTTGGTCTTTTCCTTTATACAGAGGCAACGCGATTACATCATCAGTCGATATGCTTTGGCGAAGTCGCGGACTCACGGCACAGCCCTGCACTTGCACTAGCGAGGCACGCTGCATCCTCGGCTCACGTTCGAAAATCTGCTGACTCACGCTGTATACTTGTGCCCATTAGAAAATCCCGATGAACTCATTCGCATAACATCTACAGTAAACCTGAAACTAAAGACCACCGTGACTAGCGACCAGCCTGGTACTACAGACCACTTCGCCAGGCACGGACGGTCTCACATTATATTTATGGCTGTGCGGTGCAAACCCTCTAACTAAGGACCACCTGCCACAAAAGACCGTTTTCTCTGGGCCCCAAGGGGTGGTCGTTAGTCATAGGTTTTTACTGTATAATATAGAGGTTGCGTGGTTACATCAGTGGATAGGTGTTGGCAAAGTCGCGGCACAGTGATGCACTGCCACTAGCGACTCACTCTGTACAGAAGTACAGTCTGTCCAACCTTGCCACCATTCCAAAGCAGGACACCCACAGTATATAAGGGACCGTCCGGGGTTACCGATTGTTTTTACAAAACGAAAAGTTTTAGGATTTTTCAGCCCCCACCCACCCACCCACCTTTTCTGCAGGTAAAACGAATTCCAATAAAATATTGATGTCAATTTTCGACACCCAAAAGTAAGGGCCTGGTCAGACTGCGGCAAGTTTTGGTTGCCTGGCGAAAAAAGAACAGCGTCCAGAATTTGAATCGCGATCACACTACACATGTGGGGAGAGTGAAAATTCAAACTTCATTGCGAGCGTCAAGTGGTAATCTCCACGAACGACGTCAAATTCCTTCACCTTGGGGACGCTGATAATCACTGATTTTTTCATCTCGATATCGAGGAGCTAATTGGCCACGGACAACAACAAAACTCAAAAAAAATGGTTGCAAGGATTGCACTGAAGGTGTTGGCGATCCCCAAGGTGAAGGAATTTGACGTCGTTCGTGGAGATTACCCACTTGACGCTCGCAATGAAGTTTGAATTTTCACTCTCCCCACATGTGTAGTGTGATCGCGATTCAAATTCTGGACGCTGTTCTTTTTTCGCCAGGCAACCAAAACTTGCCGCAGTCTGACCAGGCCCTAACTGGCTTCTCCATCTGCATTCAATAATTATTTTCAAAACGAAACTCCATCAAACCCACCCACCCACAAACGAAAAGTTTTCGTTTGGGGGTGGGTGGGTTTGATGGAGTTTCGTTTTGAAAATAATTATTGAATGCAGATGGGGAATGTCCAGTTACTTGTGGGTGTCGAAAATTGACATCAATATTTATTGGAATTCGTTTTACCTGCAGAGAAGGTGGGTGGGTGGGGGCTGAAAAATACTAAAACTTTCGTTTTGTAAAAACAATCGGTAACCCCGGACGGCCCCTAAACAAACGGCGAGGAGACAATAATTTGATAACCACAATCAATAAGACAAGCTGAATCGACATGTGTGTATACGTATGCGATTCAGCTTGTCTTATTGATTGCAGTTAACATACAGTATAAATATTTATTATTATTGTATACAAAGGCCATCATTTTATTGGGTCGTCATCCCGTTTGAATGTGCAAAGTAAAAAAATAATTATAATATTAAAGGTAATTGTCTCCCATGTAAATGTATACAAATGTGTTGGTCCAAAGCAGGACTGTCCTGCTCAAAGCAGAGCGGTTGGACAGCCTGCGTGTACATAGTGCCCATCCGCGCGTCCGCCGTATACTTAGCGCACATACTCTAGTGTCGCGTATAAAAGCAGGACTCGAATAGAAGCCGATTTTTGAAGCGCGTCGTGACACAGAAGCATGGTTTGAATAGAAGCCGCTCCCTGCAAAGTACATTGTGCACGTACATGCATGGCAGTATGCACTGCACGGTGCAGACTGATGATGTTGACGTAGAAGTATGTTTTGAATAGAAGCATAGAAGCATGTTTTGAATAGAAGCATGGTTTGAACCCCGGCTTATACGGCCGTAGGCACCTGCTTTTATACGCGACATTACGGTAAGCGGTTCCGGGAATTCTGCGGACTCGTCATTATGACAGCTTTCGCGGCACAGCCTCTATGTACTATAGTCTATCCCTTTGGAAAAACGCGGCGAAGAATTCAAAATTCCGCGGCAAATTCCGCGGGGAAAAGGGGGGTTTTCTGCGGCATTGTCTGCGGTAAAATCAAAAATCTGCGGCACTTTCTGCAAGTTTCTCACCCTCCTCGTAGAGGATAATTATTATGACAATTAGTCGCATGAAGGAGCACTTTTCATACTATCCTTTGCAGTCACAAACTGAATATGAGCGAAGAATCTTGGAGAGACCTGCACTGGCAAGAGAAATGTGCTCAAACAGTCGCAAAGTAGTTTTTCTGATGCTTTCTGAGTAGTAATTTTAGTAATTTACCCTAAAAAATTCAGATTCCGCGGGCAAAAGTGTGGATTCCGTGATTTCCGCGGATGATGGCAACTTCTGCGAAAATTGCCGCGGCCGCGGAATCGCGTTTTTCCAAGGGGACAGTATAGTCTCTCCCATCGCACACCCTTGCGGGCATTGAACTCACAAGTATCACTGATATGAGACCGCAGTGCGAGTGACATCTAAGAAGTCAGTTTGATTCACAATCATTCAATTATCTAGAGAAGTACTGTAACAGCAGAAATTTTCGGTGGTGTAATATTTTCGGTATTTGCCAAAATCGGCGGTTCGGTAGCAGGAAATTTTCCGTAAAACCCGTTCTCCAGGTACATGTAGGTGTACTAGTACTACATGTATACAGTATCGGTTGTACCGAAAAATTCGGTGCGTTTTATTTTCGGTAGAAATTGTCGGCACCGAAGTTACCGAAAATAAAACACCACCGAAAATATCTGCTTTTACAGTAGTTCAGCTGACAGCACCAAGCCTAGGTAGGCAGATGAGTGAGTGGTGGGAGGGTGGTGGGTCCGAGTGTGTGTGTTTAGAAGGTACCTTGGTGTTTCGGACCAGGTGACGACAGGGACCTAGAGTACCGAGTGACGCCCCTGTACAGGGTCTGACGCAGCGGACGTAAACTTCTGCCCAAGCTGACCAAATGCAAATGCATGTCGACTGTACAACGGCGCTTGATCGAACGAACACCTCAATGGCTAGTGCAGAAAACAAGGTCACTGAAATTGGCCACAATAATATCTACTGGCACAGCACGAGTTCGGCCTTGTCCCTGACCTGTAAATTCAGCCTGCACACTATTGACAGTACAAGAAAGAAGAACGGTGTGGAGCTCGCGGAGCACCAACTAAGGAACATGACCATGACACTTTCTGAGCTGCAAGACCATGAAGACCAGAAGACCCGAAATAAAAAATTTTAATAATTCAAATCAAGACAGCTAGCTAGCTACTGCCGTACAGTAAGATCGGGCGCCGAAGAACGCAGGGGCTCGAGCGCAGTCTAGGAAAGTTCTTTTTAAAAATTTTTGATTCTAGCCAGACCGTTCTTATTCACACGCGCGCGGCGAGTCGAGTGACGTCATGACGTTTGTCATGTACATGTACATGTACTTTGTAGTGCAATGTAAGTACTTCTAAACTAGTGGGTGTCGTAAATGGGAATGACTGTACATGTAGCAGTTACTGTTTACACGTGTACATGACATGTACTCACCTCCCATACATCATGTACATGTAGAATGTTCCAAATTTTAAAAGTGTTCTTAAATCTGATAATTCTAGCCTGGACTGTTCTTAAATTTTGCCGGTTTTCCAGCCTGGGTGTTCTTCGGCGAGGTGTTCTTCGGCGCCCGATCTTACTGTACAGCTAGTACATGTACAAGTACTGGTTGACTATCAGGGAGTCGTAAAATACCGGTATTTTACGACTCCCTGGTTGACATCACGTGTAGATCTACCAGTACAGTCTACCCGGCCCTGCACTGCAGGCATAAGTTATTAATTAAGTATAACTATACTGTCCCCGGGGAAAATTGCAATTCCGCGGCCGCGTTTTTTTCCGCGTTTTTTGCGATTTTTTAAAAGACCGCGTTTTCCGCAATTTTCCCGCGTTTTTTGAACTTTTTTGTTGCACTACACGTACACACAGTGCACTGTTCGGTCAGCAACGTCTCATCGTGGCGGCTTTTTACTCAAATATGACGAGTGCTTACACCAGAGACTTGTAACTGATTGATTTCACTACATACTCACTGAAAATTGCCGCACATCAATATTATTCACCGCATATTTACCGCATATTTACCGCAAATTCACCGCAAATTATGCCATATTATGCCGCGTTTTTCCCCGCGTTTTTTGCGATTTTTTTCCGCAATTTTCCCCGGGGACAGACTATAACTATAACTAGTATAAGTTAATAAGCGCCTGTGCTTTGTTCTACCCAGGGAGTAGTACAGGGAGAAGTACTACCGGTATTGTACTACTCCCTGGTTCTAACGTATCGTTACGGAGCGCTTCCGGATTCCACCGCGCCCGTTTGGTCCGTCAAATTCAAATAAAAAATAATGGTACCTACATGTACCTCGTATCGACCTACCTATCTACAGTAATAAGTATGTCGCGAGAACTCGCAACGGCTACTAAATAGTACTTTTCCGGTAAATCCCGCTTGTTTTTCATGATCCATTGCTTCTTGCCTCCCCGGTTAATTTCCATCTAGCTGTTTCTGGCTAGTACCAGTTCTATCGCACTTATCAATCATCCTTATTGGCGTCACGCCATCGTGGAATAAAAGAATAATGATAATAAATCCTGCGGCAGATGCAGCACCTAAAGGTGGGGATGAAGGGTGATATAAGTCTCACAACCTTGGGAACAAGTGCCGAAAAAAAGCGAAAAGCCACTGACCCCTTGTGTCTGGCCACAAGTTCCCAGTTGACTGTGGGTAGTAGCACGGCTGGAAAACCGCTCCCAGGCAGGACTTGAACCAGGTCGTCATATTGACGACTCCGATCCATGGAGAATATTGGTCGGCAGAGTCTGCCCTGAAATATTGTGGATTCTGCTTTTATTCTGATTGCAAAATACCATTATTCTGCTCATTTGTCTGCTTCTCTTGCATGACAAATCCACATATACAATGTACATGCCTTCTGCTGGGTAGGGTCCAGCGGATAATGCTCCGAAAATGTTCGCATAATGCTAAGCATAATGCTCTAAAAAGTTAAAACTGCCTCATAATGCTGATTACAATGCTTCAACCGAAGGGCTGTAATGCTCTTGGTTTGGGTCAAAAGGAAGAAAGGCTGCACATATTGAATCTCCTGCTCAATCCGCCGCAATATTTTCCACCAGCTCCACCACCTTTTAGCACTGTCAGACATAATCCATTCGCCAGTGGCTGCTCTCCATTGCAGCTTCAAGTTGACGCAGGGCTATGGCTGAATAGTGTACATCAAATCCTTTCCCAACATTATCCAGGGAGTGAAAGGTGTAAACTATGTTAGGCATCATTGGGATGAAGCGTATCATGGCAACTGGTAGTCCTGCCTGCAGACAAGCTGTCACCGAGGCTGCATTGGTGCTGTGAATAATTTCTCCATCTGAAACAGCAGGTATTAGGCTGATCTCAGATCGAAATCCCTTCCATTTACGATAAGCCTGACAACACGTGGCCAGATTATTTTGCTGCTCTACTTCTCTGCAGTCCTCTTCTCCTTGTGGTGTTGCGTAGACAACTTGGGTGGCCACATTGACAAGAATACTCTTCTTTGTTGATAGCACTTGGCTCAGTCATTGCTCACGGTCTTGGGAGTACAGCTGTCCACATCTACATGTACCTGTCCGTGGTTCATCAGGTAACTCAGACACGCGCTGCTGCATGTAGAGTGCTCATAACGTATTGGTGCTGAATCCATGAGTAATTCTAGTTCTTTTCGAGCCAGCTCGGCTGGACTCCGCAAAGGCAGTTCAAGGCAGCATCAGAACAACATTGTATCTCGTTCTGCTTGTGGCTGCTCTTTCAGCCTCAGGGTCCAATTTTTCAAAGGATCGGCGTCTACTTCAGTATCTCTACCGTAGCCTAGTGACGCTACCTTCAGAGCCTGAGGCACAACGAGAAACTCCTCTTCGGCTGTTCGATATCCACTTCGCCTCCATGGTTCTCTATGTTTTCGACAAAACATTTTCCTCCTTGTAAATCCTTGTTTCGAATTTTTGCAACAGCTTTGGTTGGGCACACTGCACTGTCAAGTGTCATGCATTGTTGGTCTATAGTATATACATTGACCTGACTACGTAGTCAAGTCACTGCTACTACATCAAGTGCTAAAACTAAAACTAAAAGACGAAAAAGTAATGTTATGAGAATATGACTGTTCTCCACAAAGCGATCCACAATTATCCAGTAACCATGGCAATACGAGGAGGGCTGCATAATCTACAAACATGTACCTTAGTTATGACTCATGTTATGAGTGTAGCCGATTGTTGCCAAAAAGCTGGGATTTTCCGATGGTATCCACTAAAAATCTCCAAATGCCGATCAAATCTCACAAAATGCTCGTTTTCTTGCTTCCTAATGCTCCATAGATAATGCTCTGATGCTCGGATAGTCTCATAATGCCGAATATAATGCCGGCTTTATCCGCTGGACCCTACTGCTGGGGCTGATGGAGCGGGGAGCAAATAAAAGACATGCTTTTTAAAAATAGCAAGATGCTGTCAGGTTGGTAGCTTCACCTGCTGCTTCAACCAATGAAGGCCGGTGTGGTCACATCATTCGCATTGGCAAATGCAAGATATGAAGGAAGCTCCTCCTTCAGGGCACGTATGGCAGTGTCATTGTCGAGCAAAGGGTATTTTAGTATTTTGTATTTTATTATATTTAAGGATTTCCCAAAGGCTTTGGGCCTGTCGAGGGGATCTCCTGCAAGAAGAATGAAATGACAACTTTATGTAGAGGGAGCAGTTAATCGAGATTTCAGACCTTCTGATCCTGACACAAAATCCTCCAGTACTGGTCGGAGCTCGCACACGTTGGCCAGTGGCATACCTGCTTGCAAGAAACTAGCGACTTCTTAGATCCACCTCATAGGTTTTGGTCAGCCTTAACTGCCCTGTATTGTACGTCGTTTCCTTGCAGTTAAGCAGCATGGTCCTTTCAGCATATATTTTCCCAACTGGCGACGATGCGGTGCTAGCTGCCGACCTTCTTTGTCCTTGCTTCTCTCCTTTCCTTTGATATGGCCGCGGGTTGCATACAATGTGGCCTTTCACAATGCTCCTTCTCCAAAGCGATCACGATGTGGCAAACCTCACTAAAACTTTCCAGCCAACACAAGAAGCATTTCGCTCGGGAACTCACCCGGCCTCTGCTTTGGGCTTTCGTTCACTTGTGTACTACCTTGACAGTGATCATGGTGATCATGGTGATCATGGTGATGGAGCACATGTAAGGATCGTTCTTCTTGTCACTGATTATCAGTCCAAGCCGCTTGTAAAGAGCAGCTGCTTGCCTTGGCCTCCGGTAGCACTGAAAACGAGGGGAAGGAAGGCAAGGTGGCATGATCCAGCTCGCGAACGCGCTAGCGCTCCTCATACTAGTCATAGTGCCGACGCTTCTCACGCTCGTGTTTTGGGTACTACATGTAGTATGCGGCCCAGAGTGGACCGAGTTCGAGGGAGGATGAGGGTTGAATACCCGGATATCAAAGAAAGCTCGCTCAAACCGACCACCCCATACTCCGCTTGCAGCAACATCCAACCTAGCCTGGCACCGTCCTCACGGATAGACGTCCGGTGATGAAAATTCTCACCAGATTATAGGCTGGAGGCGTGGCCCAATGCTGGTGTGAGCATGGTAGCGGTCAGGTCCCGCAACTCTCCGTGCCATAGAGATGGATAGCCATTAGCCACCTGCTGGACATAACAGAGCGTGCAGGACAGTGAAGGCAGCTGCACAGGCACAGCTCTGTTGGAGGTGGGACGGTGTGAGAGATGCACTTCAAGTCAGTCAACCTTATCACCTACAATACAGTTGAAAGTGCACGGGTAAATGGCAGCAGATCTTGCACAAGGCCGGTGGGCGTTTGCAGCGGACTTGTCACTGTACCGGAATCGGCTTGAGAAATAGTCTATCAGTATCTGGACCACCAGTAAGTCTCCTTCAGAAAGGATTGGGTGTTATAGGCACTGTCAACAAAAAGGGCCCTTCGCTCGCGGTCCAGTTGTGTCACAAACCAAGACAAGATAGAAGAGTAGAAACTTGAAAGCAACGACGTTTATACGTGCTCATGATTGGATCTCTACACTGTATGTAGACTGATAGGGATCTACAAATAGTGTACTATAATTATACATTTTAGTATCGTCATTGGCCGCAATGAAGTG